ATATACACTGTCTTCCTATGACCTATGACACATGTACAAAGTTCCATGAGTTTTTGAGCATCTTAACCCACTAAACCATCAGCTTCCTTTTTCATGGCAAACAATGCATCGCCACGGCAACAGCATTCAACGAAAACGCACAATATTAATGATGATGCATCATCAATGTCTTAAGGCTATCCTTACTAAATTTGAGAGTCATCAGGTCACCTGGCTAGGAGGAATAAATAAAAGTATAAAATATGACATTTCCTTTATCCAGTAGGCGGCGCTATGAGTTATTGAATTTTTCTCAATTGAAGTATGTTTAGGCTTGAAGTACCATCATGGATAAAAAGTTTTTTGCGGATTGGATAATGTACCTTGGAGTTATAACAACTTATAAGAACTTTTTTCATAAACAATGAGGCAAAATGGCCGCCACGCCACGTCAAGGTTCTTTGATGAAAACTCTCGATTTTGATAACTTTTAATCACAAAGGTCTTAAGAGCATCCTGACCAAAGTAGAAGTTGATCGCTTAAAATCTCTAGGAGGAGTTCGTTAAAGTGCGAAGGCTGAAAAATGCAAAAAGTGACAAAAAAGCACAACTTCGCGGGTTTGCTGTAGCGCCCCCTAGTGGTTGAATGCAAAACAATTCTCAGGGTATGTTAGAGGATACGATGTGCACATATGCTGCAAGTTTTGTAAATTTAGGACAAACGGTTGAGAGGTTATGTGTATTGATATTAAGCCACGCCCCTAAGAAGTGTATTGGTCCATATCGTGTAAACGAAAAGAGTTATCAAACAGGTTTTGATAACTTTTGATGACGTATATCCAGTAATGATCCACAGCCAATTTGGTAGTAATCGGACCAAGCATGTAGGAGGAGTTCACAAAAATGTGTTTTACACTAAATTCAATATGGCGGAAAATCTAAGTAGGCGGAGCTTAGGGGTCTGATTGGCTTTTTTGTAGATCTAACTCAAGTGGACATGTGTGTTAAATTTCAAGTAAATCGGACATACTGGCCGAGGGGCATCGCCGGTCCGAATTGTAGGGGGCGCTAGAGAGCCATTTTTTTACACAGAAAGATGCATTCTTTTTCAGATGGCTACTTTTACCAGGCCTGACAAGTCCCCAAAATTTGGTGAGTTTTCATGCATGGCAAGTCCTCCAACCATGCGTACGTTTACCCAAACAGGTACAATTTCAATAGGTCCTCCGCTCCGACTACGTCGGTGCTCGGGCCCTAATAATAAACATACGAAAAACAATAGGTCCTCCGCTCCGACTACGTCGGGGCTCGGGCCCTAATAATACAATATGCAGATGACATCAACATCTGTATCAAGGATAAAAAAAAGCATCAGTCATATTATGGAGCATATGAGGGATTTCGGACTCGCCTCAGGGGCAAAAATAAACGTCACAAAGTCCGAGATAATGTTTTTTAATAAAGAAAGTGATTTGGATGACAAATGGGGGTTCAAAGTAGTATCGGACATGAGGAAGGTACTAGGGGTATATATAGGGGGAAATGAAGAGGGGGCCAGGGACAAAACCTGGACAGAAATGATCAAAAAGACAAAAAATGTGTAATTTGTGGTACGCCAGGGGGCTGAACTTAAGAGGGAAGGTAATCGTGTATAATGCACTAGTACTGTCCAAAATTAATCACGTTATGGGTTCCTGCGAGCTGCCAAATTGGGCCCTAGATTCACTTAATAGTGCGATATCCTCATTTTTATGGAGGGGGAAGGGCAATTCGATCGCTCGCAGGACGTTAATTGCTAGAAAAAGGGAGGGGAGGGTTTAGATTTGATTGACATTGGAGCCAAAAGAGATGCTCTAAGGGTGAAATTAATAGGAAAATGTCTTGATTCGAAGAGGCAACACCCATGGAAAGACACCCTGGCGACCCTCCTGACAGAGTACGGTGAGAGAAGCCATTACAACCTGTGTGGTTTTACTCCCAGAAATGTTTCAGGAGGGTTGCACGGTTTCTACCGTGAAGTGTTGGAGGCTTGGGACAAATGTTTGCCCCACCTCAGACCTGATGTGGAATACAAAGAGCATGTGATGCATTTACCTTTCCTCAACTCCCCCTTCTTTTCCCACAAAGGCAGACCCCTGGTGTCCAAGGCTCTCCGCGAGGCGGGTTTGACGACACTGAGGGGAGTCTGTGGGAGAGAGGGGAGATTGTTTTCGACAGGGAGAAAACACTGGCGGCCTTGAATAGGGCTGGAGTGGGGTTCAAGAAAAAACAGATAGTTGGATTAGGAATGAGAATCAATAACTGTATAGGTGATAATTGGCAAGCACTGAAGTATTGCAGCAGCAGGATGCAGGGCGATGCTGTGAATTTCCTCCTGTGCCAGGGGGAAAAGAATATACCAGTTACACAAATAAAAACAAAAGTAATCTACAGCATTCTAATCAGAAAACTCGTTAAAAAACCGGCGACAGAGCCAAAATGGGCAATCATGTTTCAGAAAAAAGAGATTCGAACAATCTGGCATAACTTAAAAATTCCTTTCATTTTGCATGCCGTGTTCAATACAGATTTTAAGCTGAGGCACTGGAGGATCTTTACTAGCATCGTCCTGCATCAGATTTAGAAAACCAAATTCGAAAGGACATGTGCGGTGTGTGGGCTAGAGCAGAGGTCCCCAACCTTGTTTGCACCACGGACCGGTTTCATGTAAGACAGTATTTTCACGGACCGGCCTTCAAGGTGTGGCGGATAAACACGACGAAATAAAATGATACGATCGGCATGAAAACAAATATAAAATGCATAAAAAATACAACTCACAATAACGCTGAATCAGTGGAGCCCTGAGCTTGTTTCTCTGCAACGAGACGGTACCATCTGGGGTAATGGGAGACAATGACACCCTAAGTGTGTTCCTGATGTCCAGTCTACTCCGTCATTTTGTTTTGATTGCTGTCACTGCAGAACATCCCGCTTCACAAAGAGGATGTGTGAAATGGAAGCAGGGTTTTCAGTGCTTTAGTGGCGATCTCAGGATATTCAGCCTTGATTTTAATCCAAACACCAGCAGAGTTATTGTCTCAAACATACTTTTAAGGCCACCGTCATTTACAATCTCCAGCATCTTCCTCTGTCACCACATATTATGCAGAGCGGGTTTGGCGCGTCAGAATTACTCCTGATATTTAATCAGAATCCTGGTATTGTCTGTTAAATGAAGCTTTCATTTTATTGGAAGTTGTAGCTCTTCTTCCGTCTCCTTAGTGGCCTTTCCTCCTTTGCAAAGAAGCTCTCCAAAAGTTATTTACTCATTTTCGCTAGTTTGCGGGCTTACTTTTTGAGGTAACGAATCCGGTCATTTTTCAAAATAAAACTACTTTCAGACTCTGATAATCAATAAAACGGAAATGATATAATATTTATTCTTTCTGTGCGGCCCGGTACCAAATGAGCCCGGTGGTTGGGGACCGCTGGGCTAGAGGATGAGAACATTGAACACCTTATTCTAGAATGTTCAGCCCTAACATATTTGAAGAAATATGTACATGATCTTTTGAGCACCCGTTGCTGTGCTAGTCTCAAAGAATGGGAATGGCTTTTCGGCATGCCCAGAAAGGGTAAGGGGGGGACAGATGCTCAGGTGAACACACTCCTCGCTTTTGCCAGCAGTCCTAAGGAGGAATTTTGCTTTATTTGAGGGAAAGGTGGTAAACGTGAAGGAAATGTACAGAAACATGTTAATTAAAGGCACACTTGGGACTGCTGCATGCCTGCAGGGAGGAGTGGTTAGCGGAGTACTTTTTAAATAGAACATCACTGTGCAGGGTTGTGGAGGGTGAGGGGCTTATTTTTGATTTCTGAATTAACAGCAAAATACGGTATCCTCCTTTTTGGTTTCTTTTGTTGAGTTTTATTCTTTGTTACTAGGGGTGTTAAATGTATGGTGTGTATATAGTTTTTTTTAGGTTAAATAAAGTGTAATGTTTATTTTAGTGGGGTTCATTCTCAGTGACCAGGGGTACTGAAAGAATGGGAATGGGATCGCGCCTGATCTCGTCTGATCTCGGAAGCTAAGCAGAGTCGGGCCTGGTTAGTACTTGGATGGGAGACCCCCTGGGAATACCAGGTGCTGTAAGTTTTTTTTCACTTCTCTCCATCAGGCAGAGGACACTGCTGCTTTTTCACTTGAGAAATATGTGAGAAAAAGGCAAGATTGAAGAAGAGATGCATACAAAGAGGTGGGTAACGGTAAAGAGGGAAAAGAGAATCAATCAATAGAATATCAATATCTTCTTATTTTTGGAATGTTAATGAACTGGTTTAGGTTCGTTAACATTTTGCAATTAACCTACTATTGTTCGTATTTGAGTCTTTTCAAGCCGGTTCCACCCAACAGGTCAGAGTTCTCTGTGAAGAAAAGTAAAGTTTAATTCACCATTCACCCTACTCTCTTGACCACTCAAAGAACTGCTTCATTTTTTTAAATCGTTGTCCCTTTGAACATAAAATGAGATTTCTTAAACGTGTCCTAAATGTACTAAAAAAGACTGCACATTTTGACAGCTTTTAAACCAGACTAAAAGGCTGAGAATGTACCTTAAACCAGTAAAGGTGTGTAAACAGCAGGTTGTAATGAAAACATCATGAAACTGTGAAATCAACTGTCCTGAGACACTTTTTTGAAGAAAATCTTGGAAACTATGTTTACTTTCACAAAATCCACTTTTGGCCTCTTCCAGCCTGAAACGTCTTTTTAAATCTCCCTGTAGAGTCCAAGCACCAAAGACTGTGAAGACTTTATCATCACATATCATCTGTTCATAATAAACTATTATCTTTTCTTCACCTGACTTGTCTCTCCTGATTGACATTAATTTGACACAAATTCATGCATTTTCAACTGCTCAATCATAGATTACTGAGAAACTCAATCCAAACTTAAAAATGTTCCACATACTTGTGTGTAGGACTGCCCCTTCAGCAGAAGCCTCTGTGTCACTAACGCTGTTGAGCTGAGTCAGCTGCAGTGAACGCTCCGGAGTCATTTAGTCCTTCCTCATTGTCCTCCTCTCACTGCACTACCACCAAGCTGCACTGGTGAGTTCAATCAGCCTTCACCACAGTGATATCAAGAGAGGTTTTTGTTTGATTGATTAATTTGTTTTCCCACAATAATCTGTATTTAACACTATATGCTTCTTTATGTAATGTATATATGCATACTTTGCTGGTTCATTCTGGTTTGAAACTGGCATATTTATGGTCTTTATTAAATATCACATGACCATGGAGTTTTCATCAGATCAAACGGCACTAAAAGTAAGCTAAACTTTCAACCTCATACAAGTTACTGAAATGACTCGTGACATGAAAATCAATTCTTAATAGTCTGTCATAGTGACAAGCAATAGTTTGATTCAAACAAACTTTACAGTCTTAACAGCTAATGTAAAGCTGCAGAAAAGCTGGTTTCTACTTTGATGTAAAAAGTAGTGCTGGGCAAGTTAACGTGTTATTATTGCGCTAACGCATCAATTAATTAACGCCGTCAATTATTTTATCGCGCGTTAACGCAGTTTTTTTTAAATTATTATTTGGAAAGTGTGTTGCTCACTGGCAGCGGTGGAGGAAGTCTTCAGACTACATTGATACAGCGTGTGGGAGAAGTAGAGATAAACTAAAGCAAGACAAGCTAACAGATGCTACAGAGAAGTGGAGAGAAACTGCAGGTTAGTGTTGTGGAAGATGTCGGTCTGAGGAACGTTCTCAAGGTGCATTGGTGTGAACGCACCTTTAGGATCTCAACGAATGACGACATGTATGAGCCTCAATAACTGCTACTGTGTAAAGGGAACACTGCTGCTAACAAGCACCTGATTTGTTTAAAGTGTTTGCAAACCAAATGTTATTGCCCTTTTGTTCATATAGCAGTACTTTTAAAACATAAGTGCGCAATTAATACACTACTTTTGAATTCATTATTGAACTTTGCGCATAACAATGCGATTAATCGCGATTAAACATTGTAATCGTTGCCCAGCACTAGTAAAAAGTAAAACTATAATATCACATTCACAGGTCATTGGTAATAACTATAAAACACATTATGAACATTATTTATTGTAAAATAGGCAAAACTACTGAGTAGTTAATAAGGCACAAGACCTAACAAGATATACTAGTCAATGGCATAATATTACACATATTATATATTTCTTACATATTTTACTCATAAGGATTTCTTCTGATTGTTAATAATGCCATTGTCTGGATATTTGTTCCAGATGATACTGAAGGTAATATAAATGAAGGATAATTACATTTAACAGTTATATTAATATATAATAGAGAAAGAAATTACAGCTTTATTATAATAATTCAAAAAATATATTCAGTATTGATTTACTTATCAATACAACCTTTTTGTAAGATCTTAGAAAAGTACGTAAATAACATTGATAACTACAGATTGTATTTTTAATTATGAGAAGAAACCCTGATGAGTATTTACTTAATATTAACATACTATTTACATACCCATAACAATGCTTACTAAATATTTATTCAAAACAGATGAATGAGTCAGCAAATGAGCCACCATGCTCCTTTGATGAATCCACAGATGAACTTGTGTAAGAGCACACAGAATACATAGTCAGGTATGAATAAACCAAAGTTTGTAACGTATCATAAATCTGTACTGTATTAACAGCTAATGACTGGCTCACTGAAAGCTATCTCAAAAAAACACACCACATATATGTCAAACAAGTGTACAATAAAATAATCTCTAAACCACAAATAAATGGATATCTTATCATGAGCTCTACATTACTCTGCTTACACTATGCAAACTGCAAAGAGGAAGTTGAAGAACCACTTCCTGTTTCATGTAGTTGATGCAGATCTAAAAGTAAGACTGGTCACTTCAGGAAAGTGGCAACTATTTGTAGCGCAATCAATTCTCCTAATGGAATCTCCGTGATCAAAGGATCCACTTGAGGCGCAATCTACACAAATGTCCCGCATATGGTTCAACTCCGGTTCATTTTGACATGCAAGTGTTTGCAGTTGAGCAATAGCAAAAGTTCTTGACAGGGCGGTTATCTCTCAGGGGACAGAGAGCTGGAGAGGAAATAGAAGGAAATACATTAACAGAACAACATTAGAATGAGTGTGTGTGTGTGTGTGTGTGTGTGTGTCTGGTGTCTAGGGTGTATAAAGGGTGGATGGATGAAATATAGGGGGGCAGTGGAGAACTACGAGAAAGCATAGGAAAATAAATAAATAAGTAAAAGAACAAACAAAAAATGACAACTTTCAATCCTCTACAAAAATTCTACTCTTTATATTCAGGGTTACAAAATATAAGAGTCAAACCTGGTAAGGTGATAGTGACCCATTTCTGGGAAGAAGTATTGCACACCAGTTCAGAGAGACAGGATTTTTTTACTGCTCAGTCAGCAATTTCTGTTCTCTATTTTGAGAGAGTAAAATAAGGAATCAACATAAGACGACGAAGTCCACGCATTAGTCATTGGTCAGTTATTTCAAAGCACAACTCTGTACTTTCATCTTTGAAAGCTGTTACTCTGTTATTATACATTGTTTGGATCCTCATTAGTATTCACAGCGGCTCTTCCTAATTTCTACAGGTGATAAATGATAAAATACATGTATGTAGTCAATAAGAAGCATAGTTACTAACCCAATAAAACATCATCTATACACATCTAACTCAGCTCTATAAAATAGAAAAGCAGTTTGGTACCTGATGATTGCCCTGTGTTTGTGTAATACATGGGCCCTGTTCTTTTTGCATATTGAACTGCATATTTGCCAATAAAGTTGATCCAAAAAACAAAACTGTTCAGTAAAAGGCCTTCTGCTCAAATGGGGAAGGAGCAGGTGAAGATCTAGGAATTGACTCCTGCTCTGTAGAAGAACCATTGTTAAGGACCAATGTTAAGTTTGGCCTCTTTGCAAATCAGCGTGACTTTTTATTTTATTGATCTACTGCAGACTGATGTGTGTGTCACTGTAGAACAGGATAGTAAGGGTAGGTTGAATATATAGGATGGTCCTCGTCCTTAGTGTCGATCCAAAAATAGGAAGTCAGACTGTAAGTTCAATAACATGCAGCACAGCAAAGCAAGCCCACAGCCAAACGTTTCATTAGTACAGGAGGAAAATATGGAAGAACACATCAACAATTCAGTCAAAACTCTCAAAATTGCTTACTGTACAGAGCTGACCTACTCATGCCTGAGAATGTTTTGTTTGTATATAGATAAGGGGACCTTCATACCTTGCAGTGATATAAAATGGCCTGTCGGTACATATAGCACTGTCCACAATAAAATCATAACCTTCACTGTCTAGCTAGGCTGCTAATCACCTCCAAATCTATCATCAACCAATCACTATAGCACAGATAACAGCATGTCGGCACAACTAATTATTATTACAGGATTGCCCAACACATGGCTTTGGTAAGGCACTAGAATGTGTTTTAAACTGGTAATATAACTGAACAGCAAGCTCAGCGCCAGAGAAAAGTCAATACTGATGTTCTGTTTGATGAGTGAGTTTAAACACGTCATTTCCTGACACCTAACACGTTTGCACTGCGGTGGGAGCAGAGGGGCAGATGAGGTTGTGTTTGTGCTGATTAGGTGGCACACTGGCAATTTTGGTGCTCGTTTTAGCATCAAATTAAAACCTCAGATAGCTCATTGCAGACGCAGGATCATTTTCTAGGCTTTAATTGACACCAGCACACAAACTTCTGCATGTTTAATCAACTGATCAAGATCATTTCTTGTCAAGTCCGAAACCTTCACACTGCTGCATGCAGCTTTGCTTTTGGTAGTTGAGCTGCTTCCCTCTGTTGTTCGAAAAAGGGGCGGGACCCGGAACGGTTGCTTGCAGCTAGGTTTTTAGTTTCTTACTTTAGCTTGGTATTTTTCTTGTTGAAGAAAATCATCATATAACTTAGGATTGAACTGAACACATTTGTTTCATAAAAACATTCTTAGGAAGAGATTAAGGCACGCCAGACAAATTGTAATCTATCTATCACCTATCTCCTATTTGTGTCCAAACATTTCCCGTACACGAATTGTGTGTTCCGCCAAAAGATTATCTTGACCCAAACAAAGTCATGAGAGCATGACATAGTGAAGAGACCAGGGTGCTCTGTTTGTGGTTCAACCCACTGGTTTGATTGGTGGAAAGTGACTTAAAGGGGGTGAAGTTTGACTATAAAAGTAATCTGTGAAAAGTAATACATCGGATTTGTTTGGATTTGCTGAACTCGTATGTTGGCGTGTGCTTATTAAAACACTTCCCGCTGGGTTGCAACTTCAATTCGCCGTCTCTTCTCGTCATTTTGCCACAATATTCTTTAGGTAGTTTTGGGGGGGTGAGCTTTTTGGCTGAGATCTTCAAGACTTATGGTTTATTTTCTTTGAACTTTGAGTATGGTAACATTTCTCCAGACTGTAACAACCCTATTGTTTGTTTGACAAGAAATCCAGAATGCAGTGGTATAAAGACACAAAGGTTTGACTTTATTGATCAGCCTGAATTACAGAATGTTGAACGATATAATCTTAAAAGGAACATATGTACCAAAAGATTTTAATATTTAGTAAAGGTCCGGTTCATTTACTATTTAGAGTTAACTTACATGACATTTTAACATGCAGCCACTTACATTTGGCCACCCATCTTATAGGAGAGAAAAGATCTTCTTCTATGTTGTGTCTCAGAGTGTAGCTGAAGTCCAGTACATCTTATGTGATAAGGACCAGCTGTGTTTTATGAGAGATTTCTTCAACTACCAGTCAACAGACTAACCTTTATATCTTTATTGTCTCACAGGTCAAACCCCAGCCATGAGCTCTGAAGAACAATATAAGCTGTTCATGGATCTTTTCAATGACACCTACTATAACACTGAGTATGTGTCCAATGAAACTGTCTGGCTTTGTGAAAAGCAGGCTGTCAACAAGTTTGGTGCGAGATTCATCCCAGTTTTCTACTATGCCAACTTCCTCCTGAGTTACCTTGGTAATGGGCTCGTCCTCTTCATTATCTACAAGTATGAGAAGCTCTGCACAGTGACAAACATCTTCCTCCTGAATTTGGTCCTGTCCAACCTTCTCTTTGCCGCCAGTCTCCCCTTCTGGGCAACCTACCATATGTCTGAGTGGATTTTTGGGATGGTTCTGTGTAAGATGGTCAGCAGTGCCTACTTCATCGGCTTCTACAGCTCCATCCTCTTCCTCACACTCATGACATTTGACCGATACCTTGCAGTGGTTCATGCAGTGGCAGCCGCTAAGAGCAGGAAAAAGGCATATGCCATCATTGCCTCAGTGGCAGTTTGGTGCATTAGTATTGTAGCGAGTGTGAAAGAGCTGGTTCTCCAAAATGTGTGGAAGAGTCCGTTGAATGGCCTGATATGTGAGGAGTCAGGATATACTGAGAGCACCATGGAGCGCTGGCGTCTGGTCAGTTACTACCAACAATTCCTGCTCTTCTTCCTCCTCCCTCTGGCCATGGTGATGTACTGCTACATCAGCATCACTGTCCGCATCCTATCCACCCGCATGAAGGAGAAGTGTCGCGCCATCAAACTCATTTTTGTCATCATCTTCACCTTCTTCGCCTGCTGGACACCCTACAATATTGTGATCCTCCTTCGAGCTATTCAGATCTCTCGCCCCAGTGAAGGTGACGACTCGTGTTCGGATGAAGAAAGCCTGGATTATGCACTGTATGTGACCCGGAACATAGCTTATTTGTATTGTTGCATTAGTCCCGTGTTTTACACATTTGTGGGAAAGAAGTTCCAGAGCCACTTCAAAAGGCTGATGTCTAAGAGGATCCCCTGTCTGAAGAGACACATGAGCCTCAGCAGCCAGAGCACCAGAACCACATCCCAGAGGACACCGCACTCTGCTTATGAGTACTAAAAAAAAAAAAAAACACAAACAAGCCAGAAATCTGGGTGTAGTTATGGATTCAGACCTCAATCTGAACAGCCACATCAAGACAATTACAAAATAAATACCATCACCTGAAGAATATATCAAGGATTAGAGGATTTATGTCTCAACAGGATTTGGAAAAACTTGTCCATGCATTTATCTTCAGCAGACTGGACTACTGTAACGGTGTGTTTACAGGTCTCTGTAAAAGGTCAATCAGAAAGCTGCAGCTCGAGTCCTCACTAAGACCAGGAGGGTGGATCACATTACTCCAGTTCTGAGGTCTTTGCACTGGCTTCCTGTCCAACAAAGAATTGATTTTAAAATCCTGCTGTTGGTTTATAAAGCACTGAATGGTTTAGGGCCAAAATACATCTCTGATCTGCTGCTGCCTTATGAACCCCTTAGGTCGTCTGGGACTGGTCTACTTTCTGTTCCCAGAGTCAGAACTAAACATGGAGAAGCAGCGTTCAGGTTTTCTGCTCCACATATCTGGAACAAAGTCCAGAAAGCTGCAGGTCTGCTGAGACCCTCAGCTCCTTTAAATCAAGACTGAAGACTTTTCTGTTTGCTGCCTTTAATTGAACCAGATTCAAGGATATTAATCAATTTCCTGCATTTTACTGTATTTTATTTCTTACACTGCTTCTTAGTGTTTTAATGACTATATTTAATGTTTCAATGAATGTTCTTAATTGTTTTAAATCTCCTTTACTTTTGCCTTATGTTTTGATGCTTTTAATGGTTTTATGTGAAGCACTTTGAATTACCTTGTTGTTGAAATGTGCTATACAAATAAATATGTTTCACTCCAAACATGGAGTTCAACGCTTCAAATCAAATCTTTCAGCATTAAAGGTGAAATATACTAGAATATATTATATAGAGAATATAGCAGCAACCTATATTCTATGTAAATAATATATAAGGGAGCAGAGAATGAAGTTGCTCTCTCTCTCTCTGTGTGTGTTGTAATCCGAGCTTCTCTCTGCTCTGTTGACAATGCTGGCTTCATGGGCTTTTAGTGCATGTTCGTGCACGTGAGCATGCCCCACTGGCTTGCACATGGCGGTTACAGCTGATAGCGCCCACCCACCGGCCCCCCTCAGGTAAACACTGTTAGCTCTGTCAGCACTTTTACCATAGTTAGCATTGTTAGCACTGTTAGCACTGTTAGCTGTAAACTGCTGGTCAGCGTTGCCATGTTGAGAGCCGCCCAGAGTCAATAGAAATTCTCCCAATCTCATATATAGCACCTTTAACTTCCTTAGAAGTTAATCAGTTTCAAGACTGCAAAACTACGGACTGCTTAACATCTACTTCTTACATTCAAGTTGTTAGCTTTTATCATACTTCTCTTTTTTTAGCATGTGTTGCGTTTCTGCAAAATATCTCAAGAAAGGTTTCTTATGTTTCTTTTCCCACATGTCTTATGAGACTCATACTGCTGTTAAATAAAATTCAAGAAAAAGATACAACAAAAGAAATATTGTTTTCTCAGGTGGCTGATAGGTGACCCTTATCTGACACGATAAGGGTCTTAAAGTCCAAGACTAACTTATATATTTTTCTACTGTCAAAGAATCCAACAAAACAACATGTGTTAGACTGTCTCACTACATTCTGGCTCTGTACCCTAACTGTGGCCCTCACTCCCAAACATACATACAACTCACAAATGAATAGTTTTCCTTTTAAAAGGGCTTAAAGGATCTGTGTAGGATTCAGTGGCATCTTACAGTGAGGTTAACAATTGCAACCAACTGAATACCCCTGTGGTCACACCTTAGCAAGCGCTATTTGAACACATGCCCCCCATACCAGGAACCTTAATGTCAATGCGAGTTGAGGCAGACCTCAGCAACCCACTGAAGGACATAGCATGTTGTGCAAAGTAATTGTTAAACATTGCTTTTTTTGAGGAAATTTAGTCCATGTTTCTATGTGAGGCTGAGATTTTAAGCATCCGCCTCCGATCTGCTCTTGGTCTGGTCCTTAAACTGAGTGTTTCAATCTTGTTGAGTCAATGTTGAATGCAAAGTGTATGTTTGCAGTGTGATGTATTTGACATATCTTATACAAGTGCTTTAAAATAAACTCAACCCTTAAATAAATATGCCAGTCAATAGCATCTGTTGTTTTATGGGAACTATTTTTTTTTCTAATTCTTTTGTATTTTGTGGGTTTGGGTGAATGTTTAGATCGTTTCCCTTTTATGACAGAACATCTGGAGCAGTTTCCTGTCAGCTAAGCACATTCCTCTGAGTCACTGTAGTCAAGTCTGGGCAACATAAATGTATAACTTTTTTATTTTTCCAAGTATTTTATTTTTCCAAGTATTTTAACAATGTAAGAGAACATGCAGAGCATACAGAACACAGTACGTTAAACATTACAAAAAATTACATAAGTTAAAGAAAAAAAAAGATAAAATACACAAATAGATGAAATAAAATTAAGTAAATAAATAAAGTAAATAACTAATTCCCCCCACCCAAACAAAACAAAAAACAAAAAAGGTTGGTGCATAGAGTGACAGAGCACAAAGAGACTACAATGACAGTGTATATTGTAACTCAGAGCTCTATAGTTACAGTCCTGTGGTACTGTTAGTGTTGTACCCATGTACTCCAAATAAGGCTGCCAGATTTTCAAAAATAAATGATATCTTTTTCTGAGACTATATGTAATCTTTTCAAGAGGAATACAACTGTTCATTTCCACAGACCATCTATCCATGAGAGTGGGGGAATCAGACTTCCACGTCATTGTGAATATAACAATTGATGAAGAACACTGTTCAGCTTTGTGCCAGAACAGTTTGTCAGCAACGGTTAATGCCCGGTACAGACTTGTTCATTATAACTTTCTTCATCAGCTGTACCTCACCCCACTGAAGCTACATAAATCCAAACCTGAATTGTCAGAAATGTGTTTCAGATGTGGTATAGAGGTCAGTAGATATAATATAATAATAAAGTTATACAAGCAATAATGGTAGCAGTGAAAGTAATAGAAATGTGACTAACAATAATGGTAGCAGAGGGTGTCAGACTGGGCCTCGACAGGAGGCAGGACCAGGGTCCAGGCATAACCACCATCCATGGAAACCTGCCATTTTAAGGGGTAGCTTATTCAACGTCAATATCAAAAATATCAGATGCTGAGATATCCTGACCTTTTGTCCCTAGTATGGTTCATTCAGTATGCACACTGAAGAGGTACATTTGGGGAAAATACCTCAAATGTACCTCCCCATAGCAGCCTCCATGAAAAGTATTTATCATAAGGCTCTGTAAAATGAAGCTTCAACCACACCTCTAATCACCTGTGAAGTTTGTCTCAGATTTCTATGAAACAGACCGTGCTTTGTTAAGAAGTTCGACTAACGCCGTCTTTGATTACATCTAATATTCAACTCACTTGGATTCCGAACTGCAGATCAATCCGTGTGAGTCAGGTGATGAGCTCCCTCTGCAACCACAGTCTACATCACAACACAGCCAYTTACACTCGGGAGTGCACATACCTCRGCCTTGTGGGGACTTACACTTAAGCCTATACGTTAGATGACATCTCCCCAACTCCTGATGCTGTAGATCTCAGTCCTCTTCTATCCAAACGGACATAGGCAAAGCCTCCCTCACACACAGTTCTTAACAAGCTACCATGGTGCTCTCCCAGTGTGCTCTTCTCCTTGCATTGGCTGTCTTCATATCCACAATCAGATACATTAGAGACTGGACTATAGCCCATCTCCAGTCAGCCCTTAAAGGTAAAGGCATTCCCTGCAAACACAGTGACAAAAAGCTAGTTTGTTTCACCTTTACTCAGCTTCCATCAATACTCCAACAAACACCAGGCTTACTGTGCTTAGAACATCCTCGCCATCCTTTTTATCCCAGTGTTTGTCCACGTTTGCCTAACAACAGACTCCCTTACATTAACATTCTCTGTTTAGAGCATATTGTACACCACTCTACGATGCACACTTGTGGTCAAACTATAAAATCCATCCTCACGCAGCCGATTACTCTCACAAAAGCAGATCCACCAATTGCCCGCTGCTAGCCTTTATCGGCCACCTGAAATGATACCACACATATAATTTTTTCAAGGGAAATTTTTTCTTCTTGAAATGTCTTTTTCTTCTTCTACAATTACTCAACCCAAAGACATCCTACTTCACACTGATACAGCTCCTTTCATAGGTTTCAGTGGCTACTACGGAGGAAGATGTAATGCTTCCATATAGCCCTTAGAGTTCATATCATGAATAAGCTTTTTCATCAAAGTACTTGAGCTCAATTCTCCATCTATATTTTCTGTCTGGATTCCTGTCTTAGCTATATATACTGTAGCTTCCTGTAGCTTAGCTATATATATTGTAGCGTGAGCGGCTCCTGCCCCGTTTCTAGGCGGGGAAGTAGTTCGCACCTAACACGGTGGTTACTCCGTCGGCTGTCCCACCTGTGAGGATATATGTTCCTCCTTGAGGTCTCAGAACAATACCTTCGGCCTTTTATCTCACCCCGTAGCTAAATAGTTAGGATTTCGGAATTAATTGTCTTCTTGAAAGTCTTTTACGGCTAATGCCCTAGGCGCTCTCAATGGGATGTAACCCTAACACCCTGTATGTAATAGTTATGTACATCATCTATACTTTACTATTGCCTATTGTGAACATTCTCACCATTTATGACTAACACTGCAAAGTCTTCACCCAGGGAACTCACCTTAAGCTCCTCTGCATGTTTCAGTCGTCACATCTTATCGCACCATTAACGGACAGGGGAAGAGTGGTACATTGTTTTAAAGGACCAGAACACTGTTTTGCTTTCAGTCACTTACAAAATGTAAGGCTGTGTTTTTCACACAAGATTCACATACAACAATTTCAATTCAATGAAACAGTCACAGTGGCTAAAAGAACTAATTCTAGCATTCCTCTTTGTCAGCCTTCACTGATTTTGTAATGAGGTATTCTTCAGTCAGCTCTCTGACATTCCTACTTTTATGGGGGGTCTATCTTTCCTTTTTATGCTATCCTCTGATAGCAAAAGGGTCTTCTGTCCTCCTCTAAGTGGGTAAGACAGAAAAAGGGGTCTTATTTTGGGTAACTAAAGGGGTATTATTTTGGCCATCTCTGAGGGGGTAAGAAGTCTATCCCATTCTATAGTTGGGGTGGGGAGAAGCCCCAATCTCACAGTTTTTCTGCTGCTTTTTATGCTGATCTAAGGCTGGCACCTCCTTCATTTCATGTGTCACTCACACATGAGTCCTCCTCTCTCTAGAGCTGACACAGAATGTAACTGGTGGTAACTGGTTTGATCCTGCTAGAACCAGAAGCACTGTAAGGCTGAAGTGACTATGTTACACAAAGTGTCTAACTCTAAACAGTTTATATGTTAAATCACAGCTATCATAAAATAAAACAATTTACATTATGATGGTTATAAAAAGTCTAAACAAGCTATATGTTGTGCTGGTTATACTTTGAAATCAAAAGGGTTACAGGTTATAATAGCTATACTTTTATGCTTTCATACTTTTCTACGATCTTTCTACAATATATATACATGTCTACCGTCTGTTATTATAGGAAACATCAGATCCCTCCCTAATAAGATGGAGGAGCTAACGGCGCCAACCAGGCTGCAAAGGGGGTAACGGGAGAGTAGCATCATGTGCTTCACAGAGACTTGGCTGAACGAGCTCACTTCAGACTCACTAGTAACTTTATATGGTTTCAACTTGTGAGATTGGACGAGCAAGACAGAGTGGTAAGAGGAAGGGTGGGTGAATAGCGATGTTTGTGGATGACAGATGGTGCAACCCTGGGCAAATCAGTGTTAAGGACTAACACTGCACTAGGGACGTTGAACTGCCGGCGAACCAGCATTTCTTGACTGGTCCTAGAACATTGGCCCTTGTAGCACCTCATGGCAGGGAGTAGGGAAAACAGTCTGTAGTTGGGGTGGATACCCGAGTGGATAACTCGGGTGGATATTTGTCATTTGACACTGGTGCTTGTCAGAAGTATGAAGACAAAAATAAGAAAGAAGTAATTAAAGGTTTGAAAATATATTTTTTTCGAATATTTTTATTTTATTTTGGTAGTTTATAAAAGAAAGTAACCCCTGCTTCCACTCAGTGAATGGACTGACCAACCTGTTCTCACTCCAGAGCGTCATATACCGCAGCTTGGTCAGGGCTCCTCAGCGCCTGACACCAACATACGGAGGCACTGTTTAGCATCTGTATGCGATGCATCGGGCTTGGAACTCACTCCAATGTAGAAGCTCAAAGCAAGTGACATAGTATAATGCAGGGGTCGGCAACCTTTACTATCCAAAGAGCCATTTTGCCCTATTTTCCACCAAATAAAATTCGTCTGGAGCCGCAAAATTATTTATTTGATATCACAGCTTAATAAGTTGTATATATAGTTATATTATATATACAAAAACTATAGTTTGTTGTATTTATGAAAATATAGAACAAGAATAAAGACAATTCTTGACATTTTATTGCAATTTTACCTGATATAACAATATCAAACTCTTATGAAGAGGAGAGTTTGCTGCAGCAGCTGAGAATTCGCTCTTTTTCGCTCATCTCCAGCGTGACACTTTTCAGCACATGCTGTGTGCTTGTTCTGGAAGCATACAGGTAAGCCAGCATCGTTGGCAGTGAAAGCAAATGAAGACGTCCACGCAGAGTTAAACTCTCTATTTTCCTCCGTGACTTTTCTTTTGTTGGATTTATCAATTGATGGTTTACAGAGGGTGGGGGTCTGAAAATCATGATTAGCCGCCTGCAGGGAAAAGCGCTTGACAGGGGTAGAGGATTTAACTGCCTGTGGGAATAATTAACATATAAGATTCTGTTCATTCTTGCTTATAAATTATATTCTCTCTGAACACGTTTCTCTTTTTGGAGAACGTCATGTGAGATAACTTCTCAGATCAGCGCAATTTCCCTGCTCTTCTTTCTATTTCCTCGTCTCAGCCCCGTGTGTCACGTGTGTGTAAACCTCGCTCCAGTCAGGCAACTTGTCAGAATACCCATATTTGATTGGCTGAGCTGCATCACCTGATGTGATTTGCAATGCATTGGTCGGTGTGTTTCCTGCACCGCTGAACAAGTGCCGTAACGGCTGAATAAGAGGCGCTGGTTAGAGTTTAAATTCGGTGCCAAATATGTATAATTCCGAATTATCTATTGGATTTAGGTCCTGGGTCCAGATCCGGTACGCCAGTTAGGGACCCCTGATGTAGACTCAGGGAGCCGCAACAGAGAGGCTTAAGAGCCGCAGGTTGCCGACCCCTGGTATAGTGCAAGATAGCGGATAGGTCGAACAAACACAGGATCTTTGTCCAGGAGGCCGCTGTTTGTGCCCCGTGCAAATCTAAGTCAACTTTGACTTTCGCACTAGTCGTTAGTCACATGAGTTGTTAGTGTCAGTAGGCATGTGACTCTCGTGAGTCACTTGTGATGTGAGTCGTCGTTAGTCACTCAGTAGTCAAGTGAGATATTAGTCAGTCAATTTACCGTCAACCATGCTCTTTTCCTAAACCTAACTGGTTTTGTTGCCTAAACCTAGCCTAACTTCCTGTGAAGAAGGAAGTTGATTTCGAAAAGACGTTATGCATGTTTGAGTGTATATGGACAATCCTTGCCGATGTTACGCATTGGGGTGAGAATGTGTTGGAACTGACGCAACAAGAATTGTGTGAAGAGAACCACAAACCATTACAGATACTCTAAGGCATTCTGTGGACAGCTCCTGGTGCTGAAACGAGGTCTAATAAACCTACTGGATGAATAAATGCAGAACATCTGGATCTGGAGTGTAAGAGATGCGTGCATGTAACTGTTCATCAACAAACATACCCTGTTCAGTTGCAAATTGGACATTTGTAAAAAGTTATCTGGAGTGGGTACAAACAAAAGAAAGTGAAATTGCAGAAAAAGTTGTAGAAAAATATGACAGTGGGTGGTATAGTTGTTTAAATGATCGATCCTCAGCGTATTTTTAAAAAATATATATGAACCAAAAAGAAAAGTTCTGAACACGTTTCTGTTTGTTGGCAGTCTCAAGTCTATCATAGTTCTATGACAACTAAATTGACGTTGAATAAGCTGATAGGGAAAACACTAGAGTACTATACTTTAAACCTAGAACTTGTTCTGGGGTCACCTGAAGTCTGCTGATGATACTCATTCAAATAGGAAGAAAGTAAAAGTAAGTATGCTCTCAGGTAATGTGTTCAACTTCATATTCAAATTCATAGTTTTTTCAACTTTTGAGTTTGTCCACAACATCTGTTTTCCCAGGTAAGTACCCTGCTATCAGACATCTTCGACCTGACCTGACACATCTGTTCAGCTCAAACAATGAACGTGCTCTTTGTTTTTTATGATTCATCTCAAAAAGGGATTCTTAGCATTTAACCTTATACACACAAATGTATAAGGTGAAATGACTACAGTTAACCGCAATAGAGGTGCTTTAGAAAACTCCAAAATCCTGTACTGTCTTTACTTTCTTGTTTTTGTTAGCGTACTGCAGGTAGCATTGTCAATGTTAGCCAACATGCTCTGGCACCTATGGCTCACTGTCATTTCGGGGAGCCCCGTGTTGTTTTCCCTATCGGACCGTACCAAGTGTGGGAGAGAGTGGGGGTGTATTGATTGGTTCGGCGGCTCGGCGGTTGGATAGCCCCCGTCTGTCTGACCACGCACCTGGAGCGCGAGGCACGGACCGCAGCACAATCGCGTTCGGTTCACAGGCTGGTTCCGGAGGTTGTTGGTCAAACCCCGCCGCAGTGCCTCTGGGCAGGTTGGTAAGAGAGGATAAATAAGACGAAACGCGCAGAACGCAGCGGGCGAAAGGGCTATTTGCTTGTTTCCTTCGCTGCTAAGAAAGAAAGCAGCGGTCGGAACAACAGACAGCCGAGAACGCCGCACCGAGACCCGCCTGGACCCGCTTCATTGTCTCTGACCGTGTGGATTATCTGTGAGGATGTCTTGTATGACCGTGCTGTTGTTGCTGCCAGTCCTGTGTAGCATCACAAGCACCTCCAGCGCTGCATCCTCAGCATCCCGTAAGTAGCTAATACACCCACACACCCACACACACACACCCACATCGTGGCTAATTTGGTAGCTAGCTCTTGTTGGGGCCACTGCAGGTCTCAGTGCAGTCAGTGATGTGGACTACAGCCAGGACTCGGCATGAGACCAAACCGCCAGTATATAAAGAGCCAGGCTGGGGATCATACCGTATTGTATAATGATGATGATGATGATGATTATTATTATCTCTCTCATTAAAGGAAGTCATCATCACGAATTCTGAAAGACAACAACATGTTTTTAAAGCAGGACAGGAGTTAATGATGAAGCCTATGTGTATTTATGAGCCTTCAGTATAAATAGCACAACATAACATATAATCTAAATGCTGAACTAGAGAGCAAATGTGTGTTGGAAGCATATCAATAACATATCAATATCAGTTGCACAGAATAAAAAGTAACATATCAGTACTCTCCATACTCAGCATTTTATTCATATATGAATAAAATGCTAATCCCGAGGCTAATCCAGTAATCCTCATTAAACAATGTACACAGTTCCATAATAAACTGTATATATTGTCATACTGTTCAACTGGTGGGCTCAGTGCTGTCATTTCCTCTACCCGGTGCTGGCTGGCCCTCACTGGGGGCATTTCCTCCATGTGCGTCGCGACCTACTTAAGTAGATTGGCTTTGAAAGGCCAGGGGTGAAGGCGGCTCACAGCTCTGACGGTGACCTTTAAAGCACCCCTCGTCCAGACATCGCTGCGTCCATGGCCGTGGACAGGTTACCTCTCTCCCCGCTGGTATACACGGGCCCCCCTCATAGTGAGGGGCTTGCAGCTATGTCGGAAACCCACCTGACCCATCTTGAAACCATGCTTTGTGGGTGTGACTTTTTTCACATGTCATTATCCCCATTCATATCTATGCAACCAATGTGATTGGGATTCAATTCTTTTTTAGAGCACAAAAGTGTTCTCAAACTGCACCAGATTGATGCATTTAGTTCTGAAATGTTGCATACAGAAGTTAGGGTGAATATTCATGTATTTTTTTCATGTTGCAGTATGTACTAGGGGTGGGGGAAAAATCTATACAGCATAGTATCGCGATATTTTGCGTGGCGATATTGTATCGATACACGGACGCTAAGAATCGATCTTTTATTATATAAACTATTAAAAAAAATGTACTAGAAAAATCAAATCAATTGCTTTTTCAGTCCACTAGATGGTGCTGAGCTGTTTTCTGGTGAGGTCAGCAGAGGTGCCGGGTCAGCGTGATTGGTAGGAAGTTGATCAAAACAAAGATGGCGACATCGGAGAAAGAAATCAGAAATGCACCATCCACGTTTAAATCAGACGTCTGGACTTATTTTGGATTTTTTAACAAGGAAGGGAAGGACATGAACATGACGCATGGTTATGACGCATGGATATGGAGCATGGATATGACGCATGGATATGACGCATGGATATGACGCATGGTTATGACGCATGGTTATGACGCATGGTTATGACGCATGGATATGACGCATGGTTATGACGCATGGATATGGAGCATGGATATGACGCATGGATATGACGCATGGTTATGACGCATGGATATGACGCATGGTTATGACGCATGGATATGACGCATGGATATGACGCATGGTTATGACGCATGGATATGACGCATGGATATGACACTGTCGCGGCGTTTTTTCACCGACACAGTCGTGCCCAAGCTCTACAGAAGTTAAGCTTAAAGTTGAGGAGTCTTCAAGTACAGCAGAAAGAGTTGCATTAACTTGCGATGCGTGGAAGTCAAGCGCAGTGGATTCCTATGTGACTATAACAACACAATATCTCGGGACTGGTGACTGCTGTCTCACGTTCTCCAAACTAGAGCAGTACACATAAGTCACACCGGGGCAAACATTACAGACCTCCTGCAGCACAAGATGGGGGATTGCCGACAAAAACCTGGTGGTTGTAACAACGCTTCTAACGTGGGCGTTGCCGTTCAGTTAGCGGGATTCCTGCATGTGAAGTGTTTCGCTCACACGCTCAATCTGGCCTCACAACGGGGTTAAATCTGCCAACAATAGCCAGGCTCATGGGGAGAGTGCAGCGCATAACTGTCTCTCTGCCCTCGACGTCCACGCATCGCAAGTTATACTGAGTTATATAAGTCTTATATCCTACTTATATAAGTTATAGACACGTTTGCATTCAGTTAACTTGGACTATGTAGTAATACAAACAGTTCAGTTTGTCAGGTTTATGCAACATTTATGACATTGTTGGTCAGCCTGTCTGCTTGACAATCCTATTTTGCTGCAATAAAAATGATTGAAGTGAGATGAACAGACTGAAAACTTTATCTTATTAGATAAAACATGTTGACACAGTTTTCCTTTGGGGACATCATTTGAAGTTGAAAAAAGTAATAAATCTCAATATATGTTATCGCAATACTCAGAATATCGCAGTATCGTGAAAATATCGCAGTATCGTGAAAATATCGCAGTGTCGTGATAATATCGCAGTATCGTGATAATATCGTATCGTGACCTAAGTATCGTGATAATATCGTATCGTGACCTAAGTATCGTGATAATATCGTATCGCGGGACCTCTGGTGATTCCCACCCCTAGTATGTACCAATTTTTTTTTTTGCAATGTCAGTTTTTTACAATATGGTGCAGCCCTAGCCTACAGGATGGTGTGTGCCGCTCAGTGGAAAGAGAGATATATCCTACATAACCTCACATGACACATCTGCCAAGCTGAGTGGTGCAACTGTGGTTTCTAGCTTCCACTACAGACAGCTGTACCATTACACCGTTTGGCAGGTACTGTTTCAAATGCCTACCTTTTAGGATTTCCAGCATGCCTGAGATCTTCCAGAGAAAGATGATGGATGACTCTGCAATGCATTGAGGCAGCTGGCTTAAGGCTCAATGAGCAGAAATTCTCCCTCAGGCAGAGCCCGCTGTGCTTCCTGGGTTGTCTCATCAACCAGCCAGGGACCAGGCCTGACCCCGACATGGTAGAGGCCATTCAGAACTGAAGAGAGTCCTGGGCGTGGTGTGGGAGGCACATCCACAGCCTCTCAACAATAGGTCAACTGCTTTATGAGCTTCTGAACAGAACGCTGGTGTGAAATGCCCTGCACAATGGATCTTGACCCGGTGGAGCCTCGAGATGCACTGATCGATCAGTTGTTGACATGAGCCACACAGTTACCAAGATCTTTGCATGTACACCTTACAAACACGTGTGGTCCATTTTTCAACTTTTTACATATTTTTTATGTCATAGTCTCAATGTAGAACAGATGCAATGTATTAATGTTGCAATCCCATTGTCCCCGGTTGGAGGGTTTGCCTGCAACCATTTTTGTGTGATGGTTTTCTTGTTTATTTGTTTGTCAGCAGTAGCTTTGTCCCTATGAACCTTGCTGCTTACATTTCAATTGAAGAGTCACAGATAGAGCTCTTCCAACAGAACGATACCCATATTCTATTCCTGCCTTCCAATCTTTCTTAATTAGATGTTTGAGTTTGAGAGATTCTTTCACTTGTTATGTCCCAACCTGTCTTCATTAACGTAGTCTGACCTGGATATCAGAAGAGATGAAGGCTATGCGTGTTTGAGAATCAGTTTTCATAATAGTAGACTGAGCTCTCTAGTGAATCTATAAAAATGACTGCTAACAACATCAAACTGCTTTTATACAGTTCAGCATTCTAGAATGTGATTAGGTGGTATTTATCAATTTAATGTCATTTTATTAGCATGATGGGAAACTCATCTAAGAGCTATTTGATATCTTGCCGGATGACACCATGACATTTTATACTCTCAGCTTTTTGTTTAATTGGAAAAGGCCAGCTGGTGGAAAAAGGCCAATGAGCACCACAGCAGACCTCTTGAATCGTTGAACAAATCTGAACCTAATGATTATTCACAATAATGATTCCAACAAATGGTTAAAAACTCACATCATGTCTGATTTGTGAACAGGAAGCCCCAGCAATGGAAAAAAGTGATACTTCGCCCCAAATCCCACCCTGTAGACCTGAAAGGTGGCTGTACAAGTTCTGTAGTTCGCTCCATCATGGAGCACAGAGGGCTGTGGTCAGCTTAAATTGAAGTCAGATAAAATGGATTTAATAGTGACAAGTTTTCGTAGTGGAAAAGAAGTACCGAACAGCCACTGAAACTTCTTCTACCATCTCAGCAGAATCCCCTCACACACATGCCAGCACACGGACGGCTTCAGTCACAGTCCTTATGCCCTGTAAAGCTTTTGAACTGCTGCCTCAGCACGTTCTTAATTATATTTTTGAATTTAATGACGGAGAAAGTAAAAGTTAAAAAAAGACCTCACTTACAAATATCATAAAATTCATATTTATTTTAAACAAATATAGAAAGTCCCCTCTCGATATGATTTGGATATAATAGGAATAAATGATCATCACTAAATGTACTATGGCGTTTTGCAGAATTGTCCGATAGTAGCAGCAGGAGGCACAAAAGGGACAATATTGTTCAAATCACCAAATAAGAGCATGTATTTCCTCAGAGAGATGCCATGTTGGTGGAGTGTTGAGCAGATGATCTCCTTCTTCTTTCTTTTAAAGTGCTTGAGACGTGCTTGGCTTGTTGTTTTGTAATGCATATTAGGAAGCTCATTACCATACCCTGCACCTGTCCACACACACAGAGCTGGGACCCCTCCCCCACCCAAAACTCCCTTCTCATATCCAGTCTGGTGAACGTGTTGAGAACAAAGACAGACACACACACACACACACACACACCCTTATGCTAAGAATATGTCCAATTTCTTGGTAAAAAAAAGCAATTTGTGTCAGAAATATGTCGGAGAAGTGACAACCTACTATATAGTCACTATAGGGAAAATAAACCTTTACAAATGAAGTGAACATTTACAGCACACATGAATTGGATATACAGTATTTGTATTCTGTTACGTTACTATTGTATTTTTTGGGAACTTGGGACTTTGATATTAGATGATTTACACACACGAGACTCATGACAACTCCTCTCAGATATATAGAAATGTATTCACAACATGTACACATACAGTGTAATGAGCACAGAGAGAAGATACAATGTAATGTATGTTACTGACAAAGAACCATGTTTAATAAAATAAAGAGGTTTATGTAAATTGTCATATGTTGGCTTGATCAGTCAAGATACTCTGAGACCAATTATTAATAATGAAAGGTGGGAGAACCAGAAAGTGATCAATGAGTGATCCACTTAGACAAAATATACAGGCTATAGACGAAGAAAATACATGATTAAGTTACATCTAATGACACATACGATATGTGTAATGGTTCAAGGACGCTGGGATGGAAAGCATGTCCAACTATAACTGTTATAGTTTTGGGTTGATGGCATCACAAACAACCAGGGGGTCTTGGTGCAAGTTCATTTTATTATCAAATGTTTCTATCCTCAGATTTAAACATATCATGCTTATCATATCAAATCTAAATTTGAGGGTAGTTTCCCTATAACCCTCCTTACTGTGCTATTAAATGCCATCAAACATGTCATGTCAGTGGAAGTAGAAGTTACACTAAAGAGGTATAAATACTAAACTCTACGCAATTACAAATGCAATTCCATTAAAATGCTCAAAACATTCAATCCACTCATCTATGCTATTAATATCAGTGTTGGCAACGGGTATGAGCAGGTCTGGTTATTATCAAATCACAGATGATTTTAATATCAATCAATTATTAATATTAGTTAAACTATCAATAGCTATTGATTAATAAAGGAACACTAAACGGATGTAGTTGCAGTAGCTCAAAGGGCATTAAAATGGCTATCAGGAGTAATTACTAATTATTAGAAATATTTTTCTTATCATTAATATATAATAATAATTATTACATTATATTTATATGATTCAAGACTAAACAGACCATGTATAGCAATATGGCTTACAATGTAAAACTACAGAGATATCCGAATCAAAGATGGCCGACGGGAAATCAGCCACATGGTGGGTGTCAGAACAAAGTGTGTAATGTGGGAACCTCCGAATGTGTCCATGTTTAAAAGCCAATTCACCGCTTATGTGTGTGATCTGAGTAGTGGGTTAGCAAAGAGGATTAGATTGGTTAGATTGCATGCAAGACCCCGTGTCTATGTGAAGCATCACCTATAAACAGACATTACAACAATGAAACTGTGAATAACATTAAATCAAGTACATGTACATTTGGCTCTTCTTTAGCCATGTACCGTTAGATGGGAAGGTAGCCCCCTGCAATCAGTGTATAAAGGATGGAGTGGAAAAGCACCCTGAGTGGTCGAGGGACTAGAAAAGCGCTGTACAAGTCCAGTTAGCATGAAAAAGACATTTCTTTGTTTATTTCTTCAGGGCAGGACAATCGGTCGCCTCTTTGCTCTCCTTGAGTCAGCGGCTCAGCGCTAACTTGCTTGTTGCTCCTTGATGCTTGAAAGGTCATCTTGCAGGATTTGTTGTAGCTGTTGGCGGTAAAACTGTTTACTCTGAGTTCGCAGTGCGTACTGAGATAACCAGGAGAATACTTCAGGCTCTTGGGTCCTCTGCCATGGAAAAAGTAATTTAATGTAGACTATGGCTGCTTTGTCAGCGCGCTATACCTGAGAGCTGAGCTGAGCAGTTGGGATGAGAAGAGAGCTTCAAAAGTAGTTTTAGTTGCCTAATGAAACTAAACCTTAACCCTTGAAGGGGCATTTTTTGTAACAGTCATTCAGGCCACATTGGACATCACTGACAATGACACAATGGGCTCAACCTGACAGAGGAGTTACAATGAGTTTGATACAACAAAACAAAGAGTAAACAGCTACGCAAGCAGCTCTCTGAGGCTGTACCTGCTCTGAGCTAAAGGCTAACAGCACCATGCTATAGTGGTGTAACAGACCACTGTTGATCGGTAACAATTGATTACACAGTTTAACACTAACCATCACAGTGTGAAATAAAGTTTTACTGGCGATCGTTCAGTAAAACATGCGAGCAGGACATCATTTATACTTTCTGTTGGCTGATCTCTGATAATGTTACATTGTAAACAACCAATCCATGTGGAATTGAGGAGAGCTAGTAACGTTAGCAGCACCGCTAATGAACAATGTTGCACATTATGATAGGTTCAGGCTCTGTTTAGTGAAAATGGGTATTGGGCGAAGGTAAATCATAACGTTATCATGATGTGTTCACATCTCGTAGAATGTGGTGTTAGTGAGAACCAGCTGTATAGTCAAACAATAAAGGGATCTGTATCTGACAACATGGATCATCAATGATCGGCAATCAGTATCAGCGGCAACAAAATGTGATCAGGGATCTCTAAAAGTTATATTTGCTCCTTTTTTTTCTTTTGTGCTGATCCGTGATAGTAACACTACGGTTTAATGTCGGTAATGTTTATCATGTTCACCATTTTACATAAGAGTGACATAATGCTAACATTTGCTGATTAGCACTTAACAAAAAGTAAATTTGAGGAATTTCATTCATCTTTGCTGTTATTTGTTGATTTATTAAACCAAAGTATTGGACTATTAAAAACTGACCTGCTGGTGGTGCTAGAGGAAAGGTCAGTGGACATATGCAGATTGACTTCTTTGCTGATGATTGGCTGAACTCTGTATGCTTTGTCCCTCTGGTTCAGGAAAGTGCGAGGACAGCTTGGCCACTCCTCTCCCCTACAGCTCCTTCACCAGCTCATCAGTGTATGCCCGAGGATATGGAGCTGGTTATGCCAAACTCAACAGGAAACAAGGTATGCCTTTGTAAATAATTTAGTCCACTTTCACATTTAAATACAGAACACTGCTTCACTTCCATGTTGTGCTACGTTGCTGCAAATGGACATGTCTTTGCATCAAGATAACAGAGAACAGACGGGCAAAACGAGTATAGACTGTATATTACTCTTCTAATCTTCGAATCACAGGCCGCCGCTGTAGGGTTCACATGCAGCAGCATGACAGCTCGTCAAAAGTGAAGCCCAAACATCTCAATTGCCCTCTGGTGGCTGACTGTTTATGAAGCACTTGATTTGATAAGCTGTGGTGTTTTCTATGAGCGCAGCATGCTAGCTGGATTGTCTATTGGAGACAATATGCCGATCCGGTATCGGATACCATTATTTTAATAATAAACAATTCAGTACATTTATATCTTTGTGTTTATTTGTTATATTTAGTTTTACAAATTTGGGAAAGCAGTGTTTAAGTCCAGCCTGGTGTGGCCTTCCACCTAAAGCCTGATCCAGTCTCTTCCACACACGACTTGCTAAATGAACGGAGCCGTTTATACTGAAGAATCAAAAAGACGAGTGTAACTCATCGATTTTCCCTTCGACTGAAGGTGTAACTGGCAAAAAGCCATAAACTAACCTCCACAATGCTGAGGAGGTATTGTAATTACCTGTAATCTCATATCTCATAATCACGGACTACTTTATTGCCTTTATACAAGAACTGCTGTTTCTAAAGCATTTACAAGCCAATTGTCCTTCTTTAGATTCCCTAGACATGTCAATAGTGTGATCCCACGTTATCACGTGCGCCAAGTGGCAAAAATTCAAAGGTGCGCGACCACTTGCCCCACGCGCTGGCTGTGATTTCATCATGTTCTGGTGTGCGCCTTTCAGCGTGGGCTTCACCACGGCGAGCATAAACTAAAATGCTTCTTCATTTTGCAACCTTAGCTGTCTGAGTTCCGCTGTGAACCAGGGTTTGTCGTTGTTATAACTCACCCTGGTGCTTGATGGAACACAGCTGTCCTCACAGAAGCTGATATATGACGTCATATCCTCTGTGTACTCATCCAGACTGTTGGTAGCAGTCCTGAAAACATCCCAGTCTGTACAGTCTAAACACGCCCGACGATCCTCCAGAGCTTTACTGGTCCACTGCTTTGATTTCCTGACAACAGGTTTACAGAGCTTTAGTTTCTGCCTGTATGCAGGAATCAGATGGACCATGACGTGGTCAGAGAGACCCAGTGCAGCATGAGGGACGGCGTGATAGGTGTAACAGTGATCTAAAGTATTTAATGAACTGTCTGTATTTGGGGAGTTCATGGCTGAGGATTCTTTTGTTAAAGGCACCAGGACAATAACTAAAGAGTCCAGGTTGGTCCGCTCCACACACAGCGTACGCTCCTGTGGTGGAACGTAAACACCGACCAGTATGAATGAAGTGAACTCCCGGGGGAGTAGAAGGGTTTACAGTTCATGATGAAAGAGTCCAGGTCGTTACACCAGCCATTGTTGGTACAAAAACAGATTCCTCCACCTTATGATTTGCCGGAGAGCTCTGTATCACGATCCACTGTGAGCAGCTGGAAGCCTGCCAGCTGGAGCGCAGAGTCCGCTATCAGATCTCTGTAAAGCATGAAACAGAGGATGAATAAAAGTCTCTTAGTAACTAAAACATGTAAAAATATATAGGGAAAACTCACATGAATTTCTTAATTATTTAAAAATAACAATTTAAAAAAAAAAAACTGAAGAGAAAAACATTGTAGTTTATAAGTGAAACAATATATATATATAGAATATACAGAAATAACTGAACATATAAATATGAAAAAAACAATAGCTGCTATAACCTCATAAAGACAAAATCTGTATAGAATAACAGAATAAGTATTTCTATTACTGCTACCTTTTCTTCTTTTCATTAATAAAAACTGTATTTTAACAGTTTACCAATGCTGAAAGATAGTATACACTGATTATTCAATGTTCTTGTTCTATAATTATACAAAATATCCATCAATTATTAACAAAGAAATCTATGTCAAATTACAGAAACGGTACTTCTTTTACTGTTCATTTTCACTAATTTGATCTTATTTTAAAAATGTATTTACAGTATTGAACTTGAATTTAACAGTTAATATTTGTGAAATTATGATTAATTTGCAAACATTTTTACACAACAGGAAAAGTCTGTAAAATGACAGATTTCTTCTCAGTGAACCTCGAGCTGAAGACAGAAGAAAATGTTTGTTTTTTTCCAGATGTTTAGATCAACTTTTCTGCTCTTCTTCCTCCAATCTGTCATCCACCCAACAACACCCATACAACTAGGTGCTGGAGGCTGGTCCCCCTCGGATGCAGACCGTTACCAGTGGTTACAGGTGGATCTGGGTTCTAGGAAGCAGGTGGTTGCCATAGCGACACAGGGTCGCTATGGTAGCTCTGATTGGACTAGCAAGTATCGGCTGCTTTACAGTGACACACAGAAGAACTGGAGGCCTTATCTACAGGATGGAAACATCTGGGTAAGGAAGAATCGTAGTCATATATCGTTAGGCCATCTCATCTAAACCTTTTAACCCTTTGAAACCATTTGACAATTTGCATAAAAGATAGCACAAAGATACTGCTGGAGTCAGTGCAGCTTAGTCTTTTCAACTTTAAAATACTTAGATAGAAAGATCTTGCCCACAATAAAGGTTACAATGCAAACAGAAACTGAGAAATGTTGCACATCAAAATGTACAAACTGACCGTTTTAAACTAAGACATTTTTTGAAAAGTAAGAAGACTCATCAAAGTAATGATGATAATATTACGGTGGTTCAGCATTAATCACTTACAGTATGTGAAATACATTGGTTATGTTTGGGGGATTCCCACTGGATGTTTGATCTCCCTCTTTGTATTAAATCCAAAATGTGGCTCAGTAGCTGATCCAAGACTGGTTGTCAGATATCATAACAACATGTTGCAGTGAAACTTTCAATAACTGTGTATATTTCTCTGTACCTTTAAAATACAGTTGTAGACTTCTCTTTAATTCACTGGAGCGAAACAAACTGTCCTTTATAAGCTGTGTTTATAAAGTCTGCTGTTCAGAGGTGAAATCTGACCTCAATGAAATGTGCCAATGTCCCCTCCAGTATCTCTTTATTAACAGACACAACTACAGATAATAAATGACTTGTTTCCAACTATTTCTCACTGATATGTAACGAATATAAAAATGTTGAAGTGGAATAGAATAGAACAGAGTAGAGTCTGTGTAATTCTTATCAGTTTATTTTTCTATATAAATATTCAAAAATTGTTACATTTTATTAAATTGATGAAGTTGTGTTTTTTTATGCATCTGATGAATGTATAATAATGCTTTGGCAACAGTTTTAAACATGTTCAGGCTATGGACTTTTGGATAGACAAATGGACAAATGAAGCTACTATTTCTAATCATGCTTCTGGTTGTCTGAATCTAAGCGACTCACATTGTGTTTGATTAGTCCAAGTGGTCACTCCTGACATTACAACATAGAAAAGCCCCACAGGGCCAAAAAGCATTTTCATTTCCCATGGACCACCGCAGTTTTGCAGTCAGTGGAGAGCAACCTTTTTCCCAAAACTGCAACGATGATCTCACAAGATCCACCCTGATTTCTTGAGGTTATTGATGCCTACATTAGCCTGCCATCAGAGCAAGTTAGGATCAAGTTGTATAGAAATCTATCCAGCATTCATTGTGCTGTGATGGATTCTGCTCTCAAGCCTGTCTCATTGCGTTTGGGAATACAACTATAGTTTAAACTGATAAAACTAGCTTCACTGATACTGTGGCAATGGTTTTCAATAAAACTCTGAAAAGTGGGATGGTCTTCCAAAATGGGAAAAGTGGCATATACAGTACAGCTTACAGCATATATACTATATGTCTGTATTTTTATATTCTATCTCATGTTTGGGTAGACTAGACTAGGGTACAAGTAGACAGACAAGATAAGTAGCTCAGTGGGGACTTGGCTGTGTGGTAGCTGCAGATGTGCCAGTTCTCATCCTGTGCACTCCCGTGTGCCCTTGAGCAAGACACCAAACCCCAACCCAAGGTGCTGTATAGTAGCTGCACATTCATCCCAATACTTCGATGGGTTAAATACAGGGCCTAAATTCCATTATGTTTGATTTAAAAGTTGTTTTGAGTTGGTGGTTATGCACAAAATACATTTAGTAGGAAAAAAATGATGTAACCAACCTACAGTAATTTGCAATGTGAGTGTCATTACCTGTCAAGACATCAAAGGTAATGATTGAAAGTGGTGAGATGGACTGCCCATTTATTTTTTTTCCATAGAGAAAATTGAACAAATTAAGGTATAAGGACGTGGGGACCTTCTTGGCAGAATTTTGCTGCATGTTTGTTTCTGTGTGTTTCAGACATTTGAGGGGAATGTGAACAGTGAAGGTGTCGTTCGCCATGAGCTGCAACACGCCATCTTGGCTCACTACATCCGCTTCATCCCAGTGGACTGGAGCAGGGAGGGACGCATCGGAGTACGCCTGGAGCTGTATGGCTGCTCATATTGTAAGTACAAGTGGACAAGAGAGGGAAAACTGAGGGGGGTTATTACTGTTGCCCCATACTAAAAAGCCCACCGTATCTATATGGATTACTGCTGGGGGTTGAGGTTGAAAATTTAAGTTGCCTGTAGGTGTGGATATGAAAGGAATTATCTGGTCGAACCTGAAGATTCAGGAGGAGCAATACAGATTCTGTCCCGGCTGTGCAACAGTGGACCAGCTCTTTTTCCTTGCAGGTCTGTTGGAGGAGTCATGGGAGTTTGTCCATCCAGTCTGCTGTCTGTGTTTTGTGGACTTGGAGAAGGCCTACGACCGTGTCCCTCGGGGAGTCCTGTGGGGGGTACTGCAGGAATACGGGGTACCTGGGTCGTTGCTATCAGCCGCACGGTATTTGTATGACCAAAGTGAGAGCTGTGTCCGGATACTCGGCACAAAGTTGAGCATGTTTCCAGTGCGTGTTGGCCTCCACCAGGGTTGTCTCTTCACCAATCCTGTTTGTGATTTCATGGACAGGATTTCAAGGCTCAGCTGGAAGGAGAAGAATGTCCGGTTTGGGGACCGCAGAATTGCATCCCTGCTTTTAAACAGATGATGTGGTTCTATTGGCTCCTTCAGAACGTGACCTTCAGCAGCACTGGGGCGGTTTGCAGCTGAGTGTGATTAGAGTCAGTACCTCCCAGTCTGAGGCCATGGTTCTCTGCCGAAAAATGGTGGATTGCACCCTTCGGGTTGGGAGTGAGTCACTGCCCCAAGCGAGGGAGTTCAAGTATCCCGGGGTCTTGTTCACGAGCGAGGCTAAAATGGAGCATGAGATGGACAGGCGGTTCGGTGCGGCATCAGCATTACTGCAGGCGTTGTACCGAACCGTTGTGGTGAAGAGGGAGCTGAGCCGGAAATCAAAGCTCTTGATTTACCAGTCCATCTATGTTCCGATCCTCATCTATGGTCATGAGCTTTGGAAAGTGACCGAAAGAATGAGATCGTGGATACAAGAGGCAGAAATGATCTTCCTTCGTAGGGTAGCTGGGCTCAGCCTTTAGATGTAGGGTGAGGAGCTCAGACATCCGGAGGGAGCTAGGAGTAGAACCGCTGCTTCGTGTCGAGAAGGGCCAGCTGAGGTGGTTCGGGCATCTGATGGCATCTGACACCTCCCTTTAGAGGTTTTCCGGGCACAGCCAAATGCTGAGAGGCCCCGGGGTAGACCCAGAACACGCTGGAGAGATTACATATCTTGTCTGGCCTGGGAAAATGTTGCTGGGGAGAGGGTCGTCTGGAACACCCTCCTAAGCCTGCTGCCCCTGCGACCCGGTCCTGGAGCACATGGATGGATGGATGGATGTCTAGTCTGTGGTGCTTCCCGCCTACTGTGAGCTGGGAGAGGCTCCAGCCCCTGTGACCCACTATAAGTAAAGTAGGTATAGGTTATTGATAGATGGGTGGATAATTAGGTTTGGGACTTTATTTTAGAGGATGCTCCTCCCTTAGCAAGTACTAAGTGGGTGTGGGTCAATTAACTGAAGAGAGGACTCCATTTATGATGATGACCAGTACAGAAGATTGGTTCTGGCTCACATAGTATTTGTTACAGGGACACTGCAGAATCCTCTTTCCTTCTCTGTGACGCCTACACTCTATGTATATAAAAATATGTGGACACCCCTTCTTTGAAGGCCAGTGATCACCAAACTGTTTCTGTAAGCCCCCTTTAGCAGATAACAGCAGCCTGCTATTGACTTTTTGATTCAAAATTATTTTGAACTGAACTGATTTTAGAGGAAATAGTTCCATTAGTTTCCAAAAAGCATTTTCTGAACTTTAATACCCTTTTCTTTTTGTCTTCCAGGGGCAGATGTGATCAGTTTTGACGGCCATGGTGTCATCTCCTACCGCTTCAGGAGTAAGAAGATAAAGATTGTGAAGGATGTCATCTCTCTTAAGTTTAGAACCACAGCTGGAGATGGGGTCCTGGTCCACGGAGAGGGACAGCAGGGAGACTACATTTCCGTGGAGCTCCGCAGGGCAAGACTGCAGCTCAGCATCAACCTAGGTAGCTCTCTATAAAGTCTGTGTGGTTTCAAGGACAACAAAGGTGTTCTTTAGAGAAAGCCTATTATATTCTATTGAAATTATAAGGACTCTATTATCTCCTGCTGTTAGAAGTGACATGACAAACATTTATAACCTGCTCCTGTCCATGTGATTTGCTCACTTCTCTCCAGGCAGTAACCAGTACGGTTCCATTCAGGGTCACACCTCTGTGACCAGTGGGAGCTTACTAGATGATGACCACTGGCACTCTGTTGTCATAGAGCGGTACCGGAGGAATGTCAACTTCACTCTGGACCATCACACTCAGCAGTTCAGAACCAATGGAGAGTTTGACCACCTGGACCTGGACCATGAGGTAAAGACTCCCTTTCGGTCATGCTGTCAGGCATTTCTTCATCATCTCAGCCTCATGTCACAATCCTGGGACTTTGCTCCCAGTTCAAAAGCCTGTAAGTTATACTGGTCCTTTAAGATGAAGATGAATGTGAAGACTATGTGCATACACTCTAGTCGGACTAAGTAGTCTTTGTAAAAGATGTGCATTTACATCGGACCATCTGAACAGTAGGAACATGTCATTTCCTCTTTTTAATTCTGTTTGTCAGGTCTGTCATTGCTTTCATTACCCTGAGTTTTTCCACTAGAAACTTTTCAGTTGTGTGAGAAAACTTCTTCTTCTTGGTTGGGGGACCATCAATGGAGAGACAAAGCTGTGTTTTCAAATGTATCCAACTTTATGTGGATGTACTCTTTTAGTCAGTAGAGCAGAGTTCAGTAGAGTTTGGGTCAGTCAATAAATAGGTTCATGTTAGCCATGGAATTTGATTATAGCAAATCAGTACCTTTGAAAATTAGCTGCCTCAACTACTGCTACTGTTGCTTCAGTGTGTGAGAATAAGATGATGGAGACAGTCTGCCTGTTTGTTGATGAGTACCTTGCTACTGCTATGTCCTCAATCCCCATTACCCCAGGCGGAAACCTCCAGGTCTGAAAAGAGAAGTCAATGTGAAACTGCCTTAAACTTGTATTCTCTCTGATAGCCATCAGGGGTCAACACCTCTGGTTGCAAATAGAAGTCTGGTTGTATAGAAGTCTATGAGAAAATGACTCTACTTCTCTCTTGATTTATTACCTCAGTAAACATTGTAAACATGAGTTTATGGTCTCAATCTCTAGTTTCAAGTCTTCTTCAATACAGCATGATGTTCATTTAGTACATTATGGTCCATTTAGAGTCAAACAGACCATAAAGCAGGGTATGCTTTAGGGCGGGGCTTATTGTGGTTGACAGGTCACTACCGCAGCATTGTCCGGTCTGGGAGTTTTCTGTGTTTCCATTAACCCTTTCACAGTGTGTTTTCAGTTGTTGAAAGTTAATTGTTACCTTTTTGGTCGCCAACCCCAGCTAAGAAGGTTATCGTCCCTCCACTTTTCATTGTTCAACACCTGCCGAACAACACCCCTTAGCTTTGATATAATCACAACATTATATCAAAGCTATATACTGTGTATACTGTATACAATTAAGCTATTGATTAATTATATACAGTATACCAGTGTTTTTCAACCTTTTCTGAGCCGCGGCACATTTTTTACATTAAAAAGATCCCGCGGCACACCAACAACCAAAAACATTACAAAATGACACCTTTTAGCATAATACAGCATACTTTATATGCAGGGGAGTCAAACTCAATCCCAGGGAGGGACAGAATTAAAAATTGTGACTACGTTGAGGGCCAAATAGAGTCACCATTTAATAAACAGGATAGAAGGGATATTGGACAAAGTGCAAAAAGAATACATGTTCAGGTAGGCTGCATTATTTTATGCATATGTAGCCTACCAGAGCCAGATGTTTGGCATCTTTTCTTGGCTGCCAGTTCATTAATATCTGGAGTTAGGTTCTGTGGAAACCCTCAAGATGGAGTGAAGGTCAGCATCAGTGAGACGACTCCTGTGTGGGTTTGTGTTCATCTTCGTCACAGAGAAAAGCTGCTCACACAGGTACATGTATGTGCTTCCTAACATGCAGAGCGTTTGAGCAGTATGTAGGCGGAGTTAAGGCATTGTCTTGGTGAAGCTTGGAAACTGTGCAGCGCCCTCATAGTCATACTTTGCCTTGATTGTCATCACACTGGAGGTCTATCAGCTCCACAGGTGCTCTTTCCACGTCAACTGCAAACGGATTGCTGAGCAGTTCAAATTTAAATTTCTGAGCTGTAACGTCAGCAAATCGCCCAATGAACTCCGTGCCAAGTGCGCCCCGTTTATCAGCAAAATGCGCAGTCGGGAACACAGCGGTGGAGACTTTTACTGCATCACACATGTCTGTGATCACACGTCCCCGTCCCTGAAGCTGGAGGCTGTGAGATGCTTCGTTATGTCGCACAAAAAGTCAGCTCACATCGCCACTTTTCGTCCTGGAGCTCTGTGGTGTGGTGGGCCAGTTATGATAAACATATGACATTTTCTGGCGGGCCGTTGTCCCGAGGGCCAGATATATGCTGACAATTTAATGACAAGTCTCTCAATGTGTTGATCCTTATAGGCTTTTCATCTGGGTTATGTTGTCCAGGGCCCAGTTCAGAGTCTGCATTTTACCTTTTAAATATTTCTCCATTGCTGTTCGTCTTGTCACCACAACCTCTCCCATCATTGACTTCTACTGTCTAAATGAACACGGTCATTACTGCACTACCTACTGGCATGGAAGAGTATTTATTACTTAGCCAGACACTATATTGCAGCTCAGACGCTCAACAATGGCAAAGTATTTGCAGCAACAACTAAATAATATTTTATTGGACAGATTAAGTGAAATTGGACATTTTCCCACAGCACACCTGGCGATCTCTCACGGTACACTGGTGTGCTGCGGCACAGTGGTTGAAAATCACTGCAGTATACGATGCTGTTGGGGGTTCTATATCTTTAGAAACAATTTTTTCTTTTAAAATAGATAAGAAAAAGCATCCGAGTTGCTGGATATTATGATCTCTAACTCCAAAGTGTTTCATGTTAGGCTGTAGACTTAAAGGTGGAGTCAGTGATTCTAGAGAAAGATTATTGATTTACGAACTCAACACCCAAACAAACAAAAACAAAAGGTAGCATGAGCCAGATTTACTGTCCCTCTCGCTACCACTGCATTTCTCCTCATGCTGTTCATCCATGGCCTTTCCTCTGTCCCGTGTACGAGCACAAGTCTCTCCTGTTGCTGATTGGCTTGAATACTGTTGTGTGGCTCGGTCCGAGACACTTTGTTTGTTTCTCAATCACAGGACCTGGCAATATAATATCATTTGTTTGTTTTAACCAGTGTTTTATTTTCTTGCAATGTTCCTTTTTCTGAAATGCAAGTGAATGATCTCATTAGAGTTCCTGACAGTTAGTGTGTGTTGGTCACAGTAGTGCTATAACCATCACAGTACATTTAGATCAATGTCATTCAGTCCATATCGCTCTGCTCTGCTGTGTCCTCAGATCAACTTTGGAGGGCTGCCTGTATCAGCAAAGCCGAGCTCAGGAGGCAGAGGGAACTTTGTGGGCTGCATGGAGGGAATCACCTACAACGGAGACAACATCACAAACCTGGTCCGCAGGAAGAAGGTGGACACCTCCAGCTTTGTAAGACAACTTTTTCTTGCTGGAGTGTGTGTGTGTGTGTTTAACAGAGACCTGGGACCATAGTCATGAAGCTTCCTAAAATCATAGAATTATGACTTCTTAAAAGAACTTCCCCAACAGTTCCGATCCTGGGAGAGATGAACTTTCTTCACAAAGCCTCTCAGGCCTTAAGAGAGCTCCTAAGGTACCAAACTGGAGAAGAGAGGAGGACTTTAAAGCCGCTCAAGAGTTTCTGAAGCAGAGCAGAAAATGGTGGAAAGACAAAGGAGGACAACTATTTTCTAAGCGCTGAATAACAGCGGGTTAATGAAACACTACAGATCACATCATCCAGAGATTCTGTCTGTGGTCCGTCTCATTAGAGATACCGCTATAATGACAGATATTAAAGGGATCACAACACTAAGATATTATGCAACTGTGTTTGTTGGTTTATAGATTCACAAGCTGATCAACGCCGCAACTTAACAATCATAGAAACTGATGAAAGCTGAGCCATTCTCCCCTGTTAATATCAAATGGGTTAAGTACCAAAATTACCAGCATGGTAATAAACGTAAGCAAATAAATCTGATCAACTGTCAGCATGTAGTTCATGGAGACATGGCTGCATAGAAAGATACCGGACAGTCTGCTTGAACAGAGCAGTAAGAAGAGAGGAGGAGGTCTTGTTGTCTTTGTTAACTCTAAATGGTGTAATCCCGAGCATGTGACTCCTGACATTAAATTGATGGTGGTAGAATTCAAACATCACTACCTGCCATGTGAGTTCTCACACACCATAGCTGTTACTGTTTACATTCCACTAGGGCGATATGACCTGAAAATAAGCCTACAAAAGCAAACTGCTGTTTGCTGCTGAGCAGGTAGTGTACAATGGTTTATCAGAGCTTTTTCAGCTGCCTGCCGCTGTTGGAAATGACATTGATGAGAGTGAAATGTGATGGCGACTGTGGCTAAGTGGAGAGCAGGGCCGCCCTTCAATCAGAGGATCAGCAGTTCGATCCCTGGCTCCGGCTCCGCTAGTCACATGTCGATGTGTCTTTGAGCAAGACACCTAACCCCAAATGTCTCCTGTAGCTGTGCCTACGGTGTAGAAATGTGATAGAATCTGAATTGTAAGTTGTTGTGGATAAAAGCGTCAGCTAAATGACTGTAAAGAATGTAATGGCTGGAAAACCAAAACAATGAACTGAAAGAAGCTAAAACACACACTAAGGAGAACGGCACAGTTTAGGTATTGGTTGGTTTGTCACTACAGCACCAGTTATGCCTTTCACATTACACATAATGATTTGATCCATTGTTGATTTAAAAAAAGAAAGATAAGCGGTTTGCATGTATAATCTCTGTGTGGTGATTTCAATGTAATACAAACTCAAGACTAGTGAGACTGGATAAGCTTACTGCTCATGATTAAAGCTTTAGTGAAATAGTACTTCTGAAAAAGTGTTAGCGCACAAAGGGCAGGTCAAATAGTTTCTCTCTCTTCCTCTCCCGCCGTAGCGTAACCTGACATTTTCGTGCGCTGAGTCCAACTCCTTCTCCGTCTTCTTCAACTCTACGTCCTTCCTGCGGCTGCCGGGTCAGAGCGACAGCGACACCCTGTCAGTCAGTTTGTCTTTCAGGACGTGGAACCCCAACGGGCTGCTGATGTTCACGCCCATGGCTGACGGCTGGGTGGAGGTGGGACTAACAGAGGGCAAGGTCACGGTCTACATGAATGTGACACAAAAGAAGAACACACGTATTGACATTTCATCAGGTGAGCTCGGCTCAGTGCACTCCACAATGGAAGTTGAGGAGCCCTCAGTTAGTTCGGTGTGTCGCCACTTTTAGCTCCATTTTATTTAGCTGCTTTCCTCAGTTATTGTTGCTGTTTATAGACTGAAGTGTGTTTTCCCTTGCAGGTTCAGGTTTGAATGATGGCCAGTGGCACAGTGTCCATCTGAACGCATTGGAGAACTATGCTATGCTGACAGTGGATGGAGACGAGGCCTCCACAGTCAGAACAGCCATCCCCATCCAGATTCAGACTGGAGGAACCTACTACTTTGGAGGTGATTCTTCAAAGAGATTTCTAACCTTCCAAAGAAAGGTTTAAGTTTAATGATAAGATGCCACCGAGGATACTTTTTATTTTTCAGGCGGTGAATTACGTAATCCAATTACCTTCGTTAGTTCCAGGTGTTTAACCGTCATCCTACCAACTTATTTAGCATACAAGGACTATCGACTGGGGTCCCTGGGCACCCCAAGAATAAACTACTATCAGAAACAACCAGCATAGAAATATTTTAGCTTGGTTCTTCTCAAAACATTACTAGTTATGTAGTTAATATCATCTGAAGAAAATACATTATTAGTATTATACAGTCAAATTGCATATTGTGCAAATCAAAAATAGACATTAGCACACATTAGGAAATGTGTGTCTGCTACATCTGTGTGACTGACAGAGTGCCCCTACCCGCCTGATAGCGTGTGACACTTTAAATTAGGACCCATGGCAATCATTTGATCTATTCTATTGTATCTATTATAACTGCATCGGCTACAATTCAGTGCTTTTGACTCGGGTCCCCAGGATCCCAATACATTGATATTTTTAGAATGCACTAATTATAACAAAGACAGAAAACTATATTAAGTCATTTGGAACAAATTGATTGGAATTAGGCTCCTTTGAGAAGCAGCGTTGATAATAGTGTAAAATACAAAAGGAGCCAGACCTGCAACATCTTGGCATTACAGGGAGGCCTGTGAAGGACTCTTGAAATCCTCTTATGTCAGCGTGTGGTGACCAACGTTTTCTGAGGTGGGGGGCTTGGACTTGGGTTCATGACCTTTGTTAAATCCTGACTACAGGGAGTGGATGAACGATGCAGCACAGACAAACTGTTCACTGTCAAGAACAGCACAGAGTTCTTTCTGTGATCATTTCTCCAGTGGTTGTGATAATCACCTCTGCCCTACTGCGCTCGTCTCCAGGTAACTTCCTGCACACCAACACCCGATCACTTCAGCGCTCATTCCAGGGATGCATGCAGATGATCCACATCGATGACCATCTAGCTGACCTCAGGGCTTTGGAGCAGGGCCTCATTGGAACCTTTGAAAATATCAGCCTGGATATGTGTGCCATTATAGACAGGTACACAGCTCAGTCTGAATACTAAACTTAAGATGTTCATGAAATAAGAGAAAGCTCAGGCTCAGTGGGTAGTTGTGGTGCCTTACAGCTAATATTGTAGGTTAGAAACTGGTCCCTGCTGTGTTCACATGCGTTTTCTCCCACTGTCCACCTGTCAGGTGTGTTCCTCATCACTGTGAGCACGGTGGTCGCTGTTCTCAGACGTGGGACACATTCAGCTGCAACTGTAGCGGCACTGGATACACTGGAGCTACCTGCCATACATGTAAGTGTGCTCTCTCTCACACACACACACACACTGCTTTGTGTCTGCTAAGCTGTGTGTCTCCTCTGTAGCGCTGTATCAGCAGTCCTGTGAGGAGTATAAGCACCAGGGGAAGAGTTCAGGGAGCTACTGGATTGACCCAGACGGCAGTGGACCGATCACCCCCTTCAGAGTCAGCTGTGACATGACAGGTGAGAGGTCACTGTGGAAAGGGTGTAGGGTAATCCGTTTCATTTTCACATTCAGTCAATTTATGTCACGAGTCTGGGTAAGACAGAAAAAACAATTGACCAGAACAGACCTTTTCAATGCTTGTTCCACAAATTTTAGTTCTACTTAAAAGTTTAGCAGTTTTTGCAGCTATGCTTATCACACTCGCAAAATGTCTTCCTATCTCTGTTTGTAAATCAGGCAAGAACATGTGTTTGTGAATGTCCTGGTAGCTACTGTGGTATGGACACATGTGTAACCACAGCCCAAAGGTTGGGTGAGGCAGCAGAGAGAGCCTCTTGCTGACTATGGAACAGGAGGGAGGAGTTGAACTGAAGGTAAGGAGGAGATGGACAGTGATTGGGCCTCCACTTCCAACCCGCCAACAAGGGGGTGTTACAGTTTAGGGTCAAAAACACCCCATGACCGTTTGGCAATGTCTGAAAATATCACCTCCTGGCGCAGGCTGCAGTCACCAGACAGTTAATCTCTTTAGGGGAGAGAAGTGGAAGCATTTTATACATTTATTTTTATGTGAATTCACTGGGCAGCCAATGACTTCCAAGACTGAGGAAGAAAGACAGATGACCCTCCAGGAAAGACTGGTGTGTGTGCATTGTTGAGACGCAGTTCATCAAAGACCCTGCAGGTTCACCAGAACACTGTCTGGTGAAGCACACTTTGGGAGACTAAATATGGTGGAGTTCCTGAGAGCGACCCACAAAAAAGCAGAGCTGAGTCTTTGCCAGCGTTATATGAGCGATACAAGAAAGGCCAGATGCTTCTCCAAAGGCTTTGGCAGCGGTTCCAGAGAACATGGAAGAAGGGCACCATTTCATCCGGCTGGAAAAAGGCAGAGGCATGTGTTGTGCCAAAGGAAAAGGAGTGCAAGAAGGTCTTTTGGCTAAGAGGATGACCTTATACACACCTGAGAATTGGTACACTTATTTTCAGAAATGTGGGATTCAAGGCCTCTTTACATTCTAAAGCACAAACAAACTCCCCCACACCTTTGCACAGCCCTGTGAGGAGATTGAGAGGAATTACTTTTGTATTAGTCTATATATTGTTTTTCAGAAAATCCTGCAAAGTATAAAATACAGGAGTTATCATTTAAGAAGGAACAGAGTCACATCATTTCTTTCAAATAGTATCATCCCATCCCTAATGTGGGTGCAAGGGGGGTCCAAACAACACTTGGTGACATGGCAACTTGTGCCAGGATGAAGTTAAAGCCAAAGTAATGAAGTAGCATGATGATCAAGAATGGGAAGAGACCAACTCATTTCAGCTGCAAAGCTGATGCCATTCCATCAATAGGCGAGAGTCCATTCATATTGCTTGGGAGGTGGTTCTGCAATTCCTGTCTGACAGAAATAACGAAATATCCTCACCAGCACTGAAAAGTAGAAATTGGAGTGGCTGAGGAGGACTTGAAAAATCCGGTCTACCAGGGAAATTCAAGGCATGTCTGTATCAGCATGGTCTGCTGCCCAGACTGGTGTGGCTGTGACAGTTTATGAAGTTCCTATGTCATGTACGTAAGGAGTGGAGAGGAAAATCAACAAGCACCTTCTTAGGGACTGGGAATACTTCCAAGCTTCATATCAGTAGGACCAGCTACAACTCCCACTATCATCTGTGGGAGTTCAAGGTGGCAAAGTGCAGGGTCATGTTGACCTACAGAGACTGGACCAGGACGAACAAGACAGAGATGCAGGCATCACAACAAGATCAAGGCGTGGGCAGCCAATTCATCAGTGGCCCAAGCAGAGAACATGTTGAAGCTTCGGGACATTATTGGAAGTCCATGCACTGGAAGACCAGGCCTTGGGAAAGACATTTCCAGCAGTGGGGAAAAGCAGACACAAAGGAGAGGAGAGCCATGATTCAGGCTGAAGTGTGGCATTTAGAGGATGAGCAACGGAGGTCAATGGCTGTCGAACTTGCGTCCCACGGAGCCTCGACGAAACGTGACAATGCAAGCTGGAGCCCTTCCACATCTCCTTCCTACTGCAGTCAGTGTACGACGCACTTCTAATTCCAACACACCTGCATAAGTGGGGCGTGAGGGAGGATCCGCAGTGTAAGCAGTGGGAAAGGATGGCAAGCATGGCCATTCACAGTCGAGGTCGACTGCAAAAGATTGCCGGCACAGTCGATGTGGAGAATGCTGACAGCCATCGGAAGGACAAGAAAGGAATGAAGGAAAACAGCAGCCAGCAGGTTAGGTGAGGCAGCACAAAGAGCTTCTTGCTGGTTATGGAACATTAGGGAAGAGTTGAGCGGGAAGCCACCACCTTCGACCCGCCAACGACTAGGATGTGGTTCAGGGTCGAAACAGTCGATGAATGTTTGACATCGTCTGCCTCTATCACCTCCTGGCCAAGGCTGCAGTCACCTGACAGTTAATCTCTTAATTGAGAAAAGTGGAAGCATCTTCGTACTATTTTCCCTGTATATTGTACGAGTTCTTATGCATCTGCTAACGTATTGTATAGTGCAAATGAAAAAGGTGTGGAGAATAATAAGGGCATTTCTTCTGGTCTTTCAGAGGAAAGCGTTTGGACCACGCTAAAGAACAACCTATCTCCTCAGACATCAGTCACCAGTGCAGACCAGGAAGGGAAGGCAGACCTGCACATCACTTACAATGTGACTGATGAACAGGTAAACAAGGACTACACACTTACTTTGACCTAGTTCACCTGCTGCACACTTTGTATTGTTTGTCACAGTGGATCACTTTTGTTCGTGTATTGCATTGGTACTGTTGGGAACGTAAAGGAGCGTGTTTGAGTTATCAGCATTCAAGAAAACTAAATTATTGACATCAATAGAATTATTAATGTCAGCACAGACCACATATACAGCTATTATCACAATACACATGCACAAAGTAATCACAGACAGCTGCTCTTAAAAATATAACAGAGTTTATTACGTTCTAATACTAATGATCTAGTCAACTAATATCTAACACTAACGACTATATACATCTATGAGCACGCTATCTAAAATCAACAGATAGTGGTAAGGGGGGGGGGGAGTGTGTGTTTGAGTGTGTGTGCATGTAGTGTGTGTGTGTGTGCGTAGGGGGGAGGAGCGAGAGAACAGCTCAGACAACGTATGGTCTCCCTCGTTAGGAAGGACTTGTGCACTGTGTGCCAACTTTTTCCATTTACAATAATATTAACACTGAATATTGCATATAGATCCTTCAATAGAGTAAAATACGACATTACAACATGAAAATACTTTAATATGAAATGAACAGGATCTTGTTCTATCAACAGAAGTGCTGTTAGGTCTTTGTGGTCTTCACATACAGGTGCTCTTTGGATCCTTCAGGTGTAACATGGTTGTTTATTCATGTGAAAGGTCTTTTACATGAATGGAATATTGTCTCAAAAAAGTATCAAATGCTCCTTAAGAAAAGAATTTATTGCACACTGTTACAATACCTTATTTCTACATGACAACATGTATTTAAAATGACCAATGTGACCGACATTGGTCTTCATCAGGGTCATTGTCAGCAGTAGCTTGCACACCTTTATTATTCAGATTGATGGGTAGAGTTGGACGGGGGTTTTCTATCAATGTGCCAGCCCATTGGTACAAAGCAAGGAGGTAACACATCATCAATGGAGAGGAGAAAAGGAGATGATGGCAGGGGTAAAGCGAAATTATTAAACAAAGATAGATATGATATAATGTGACTCAATCTACCACCATAACCTGGTCCACGTTGTTCCTTATGTTAAAATACAGTTTTTAGAGTATTATTCAAGTGATGTTTCACACACAAGGAGAACATCTATCTCATCATTGAGGGGGGGCATTTTTTGTGCAATCCAAGAGGTGTCGCATTGGAAAAGCCTTTTTTAGGTTTTAGGTCTGATGTTCTTTTCAACAACACTGTGACTCTGTGTGTTACGATGGCAAAGTCCTGTTTGCACGTATCAAAATCAACATGCTTTCTTTCACTCCAGTCTGTAAACCACATATGTGGTGTTGCAGATAGCAAAGTGTCTCAATTGAAATGTGTGAGATGTGTTCTCTTTGTGTTTCCAGGTGTTGTCAGTCACCAGCAGTGCAGAGTACTGTGACCAGTATGTAGCCTACGCCTGCCGAATGTCTCGTCTGCTCAACACTCCCGGTAAAGCCTCCCTCAGAACTATCATCTGAAGATTCATCTGCAGCTTCTCAGTCACTAACAGGATCTTTTGGAGCTTCTTTGTGTATGCTCCTTGTTAGCTTTGGTTGACCATTAGCCTCTACTGTTACAACATTGAAGCGCACTGCGATTGAAGATGTCAGCGCAGTAGATTTCTGAACAGTTGAAAACAGAGATATGGTGCACACTATTTACAGGGCTGACTACCTGACCATCCTGTTGTTACCAAGCACATACTAGTCTGACTTAAGAATTGATGGAATGACAGTGAAAGTAAACTGACTCCAAGCTGTTGCTTTGACTCCCAGATGGTGTCCCATTTACCTGGTGGGTAGGAAGAGCCAATGAGAGGCACTCTTACTGGGGGGGTTCAGGACCAGGCATACAGAAGTGTTCCTGTGGTATCAACCACACCTGTACTGACCCCAAGCACTACTGCAACTGTGACGCTGACCTGCGCACCTGGTGAGCTGAGCAGCTTCTTATTTTTTGCTAGTTAAAGTTACAGTTTGTATATTTCCCTGAACTAAAGCAGCTGTGACAGACAGCAGTAATGCTCTTGTTAATGCTGTAGCTAATAGCACTATTACAACATGACCATTACCAGGATGTCTGTGGACTCTGTTTCATTTCTTTCCATTGTATGTTGTATCCAATCTACTCTGTGTAGCCCTATTCTCATAGTTACAGGTACAAACTGCTGCATGGGGCTTACAGTCTACATTTACGCAAGTCTGCTTTTGCAACCGCTGTCACAGCTATCACATGTGATGCTCAGTTTTGACACGCTTCTTAAACTTGAGTTGGACATTCGACATGAGACAAAGATGTTTTACTTCTGAAACGTGTTTATTAAGTTTTGTCAGAGAAGTAAAATGTGGAATGTTTATGAAGGGGAATATTATAGTTCAACATATCAAAGAGCACTCTCTTTGATGGAAAGCAAACTATAATATATGCAGAAGAACATTATTTGATGTACATACTTACAATCATTCTTTCTGTGCACAGTTTAATGGTGCAGTAGACAATTTTAGCACACAGGTCAGCTGGGTTTAGTTTTAAAAATGTGGTTATAGTTATGAATATAGTTATTTATAAAGACATCTGTGTGATTGGTTCTTTGTGTTGTTCTACTGGACTCTACTATGAAGCTGTGTCTACTGGTGTTAACGGCTTGAGATAGTGTCTTGTGTAATATCATTCAGACTTGATTGACTGGTGTTTGTCTCCCTGTGTGTGTGTGTGTGTGCAGGAGGGAGGATGCAGGCCTGTTGGTGTATAAAGACCATTTGCCAGTCAGGCAGGTTGTGGTCGGTGATACAAGCAGAGCTGGATCTGAGGCCAAACTGACAGTAGGGCCGCTCAAATGCCAGGGGGACCGTGAGTGCCTCTCTCTCTGACAAACACACACATCCATCTAGAGACTGAGATATTTCATATCATCAGAGAATCATTAGTATTTTTTATCCACGTCCTGCTGTTGTTCTCTGAAGGGAACTTCTGGAATGCAGCGTCCTTCACCAGCCCTGCCTCACACCTCCACTTCCCTTCCTTCAGAGGACAAACCAGCACCGACATCTCTTTCTACTTTAAGACTTCATCCACTCACGGCGTCTTCCTGGAGAACTTGGGCACCACTGACTTCCTTCACATTGAACTCAGAGGTGTGTGTGCATTGCACCAGGTTTTAGAGTCTTCTTGAGGACAATTAAACACTCCTCGTTGAGATAAGAGTCAAACGTTTTTAAACCCAATAAATGCAGATGTTAAGCACCACAATGAAGGTGTGTTGTGCTCTGCAGTGTTTGTGGCAGTGTCTTCTTGAATAGTACCCTGACAAGTTGTGCTTAGAAATGTCCAAAAGCAACACTGAAGTAGCTTTAGTCACTATTGTACACCTGACACTAAGGCTTCTAGTGAGAGGTTCTAATTAGACCCCATTTAGATTCAAGCAATCTTATCAATCAGCAACATGTTTGTACTTTAAGGAAGTTTTATCAATTAATCATTTTACATTGATTGACTAATAATAAATATGCTCAGGCAGGAGTTTCAAAGCTGAGGGGCCTGGACTGAAAAGGGCATAATACTTAATGTAAGGAAAGTACATACTGTATGTTTTCTATAGATATTGGTTGCAGTAATTCCAAACAAATGAGAAATCAGGGATGGACTTCTTGTTTAGGGAAAATCTTATCCTGAAGTCTTAAAGTCTTGTTTGAATTTGATTCCTCGTCTCCCAGGAGGCTCCGTGGTCTTCTTCTCTTTCGATGTGGGCAGCGAGCGAGTGGAGCTCAGTGTCCACTCACCTGTGACTCTGAACGATGACCAATGGCATCGTGTGGAGGCTGAAAAGAACATCAAGGAAGCAGTGCTGCAGCTGAATGGACAGTACAAAGAGGTCAGACCCACGCCCCCACAGGGACACACAAAGCTGGAGTTCTACAGCGAGCTTTATATTGGTAAGACACACACATGCACCTCGTGTACTGAACTCTTCTCCACAGCTGTCACATGTGATGTCATGCACCATTGGAGTATTCCTCCTGTCTTGGTGTTGGTCCTGTCTTTAGGGTGTGTCAGCAGAGGTCTTAAAGTGTTGAATGTTCCGTAAAAACTCTGACTAGATGTTCCACAACCACATTATGGAATCCCACTGGGATGTTTGTAGGACGATCTGTGTACCAGTTAACGATAGCTACCTATGCCTGTAGAAGTACAGTTTATCTGTAACATTCGGTGTCGTGATAAGAATGTGTCCAGAGTGTTAACAATAGTGAATTCTAGAGATAGTAGTAGACAGTGTCCATGCTGTACATCTCCATGAGTGTGATCTACACACTTGCTAATGAGCCAGTGGCTGTGAAGCATGGAGGGAACATCAGCAGACTTCAGTGCTCTGCCTAAACTAACGCTATGCTTCACGTCTTGTGTCCAAGGTGCCTCGAGTGGTCAGAGGGGTTTTCTGGGCTGCATGCGGGCTCTGAAGATAAATGGTGTGACCTTTGACCTGGAGAAGAGGGCACAGGTAACTCCAGGGGTGAATCCAGGCTGCCAGGGCCACTGCAGCAGCTACGGGATGCACTGCAGGAATGGAGGGAAGTGTGTGGAGCAGTACAACAGATACTCCTGTGACTGTTCCCTCACTGCATACGATGGACCCTTCTGCACTGATGGTACGGCCTCCAACGCTGTAGGGGGTTTAGAGCAGATGACATCATTTTTAGATTAGATGATGCCATCTTTCATTAAATTAGATAAGATGTGGCAAGATAGAGATGTTTTAACTACCCTCCTTTCTGCTGTGTGTTTTAGATGTAGGTGGCTACTTTGAGACAGGAACTTTGGTGCGTTATGACTTCTTGCCAGAAGGGGGAACTCTTGCGTTGCAGGAGGTGAAGAGCACATCAGGTGTAGGTGTTCCTAGTGAAGCCAACCTGACTCAAGAGGAGCTGGTGTTCAGCTTCAGCACCTCCAGTGCTCCCAGCATCCTGGTCTACATTAGCTCCAGAACTCAGGACTACCTAGCTGTGGTGCTCCGACACAACGGTGTGTTCATCAACATGATACCCGATTAATTTGTTTTTGTTTATTTATTAATGTACTTAAATGATGTATTCTATAAACTGCTGTTAACATTATAATGGTCTGTCTGTATGTGTGTCCAGGCACTCTCCAGATCCGCTACAGTCTCGGTGGGCTATCGGAGCCCTACACCATCGATGTTGACCATCGTAACATGGCCAACGGGCAGCCACACTCTGTCAACATCACCAGGAACTTAAGGGAGATAAGACTCCAGGTCAGTACTTCCTGCCACAACATACAGTATGCTGCACATTAGTAGAAAAACGTGTCAGACTGCATTAAAGGAACGGTGAGTAATCTTTAGGGGGATTTATTGGCAGAAATGGAACTATGCTTTCATTTTAGACTTGTTTACATTGTGACATTAATGACTTCATACAGTGAGTTTGCTGTTGTAAATATTGCTTTTGCTGCTTGTTTATTTGAAATATAAATCAATTGTATCCATTTCTGAATTTATTCGTTTTAAAAATTCTATATATTATCTAGAAATTATAAAAATTTTATAACTTTTTATTTAGTCATGAAAAACCCCCGATAAGAGTAGCTCCTCATAGTAATACAATCCTAAAGATACCCATCCCGACCTGAATGCCCCCGTAGTTCTCCTACAAACCTGGGGGGGTTAAAGACCAGACTGGAAAAAGAACAGTTGGTAGTGGTGATGAAAACAGAACAGATTACAGATAGAATATTCACTTTTCCTTTCCTCTGTCCATATTCTCCAGCTGGACCACTACTCAGTGTCTACGTACACCCTACCTGAGACCTCCGACACCCAGTTCAACTTGATCAAAAGTATCTTTCTGGGAAAGGTCTTTGGTAAGTGTGAAGATGAGTAGAAGTGTGTTTGTGCAGATTTCTTAGAGATGTTGGGTGAAGTTGTGTGATTTGAATGATGTGAACGACTTCATTCCCTGCTCAAGTAGACACTCCTCCATATCTTTACATAGATAACAGTTGTTTGCTGCTGTATTCATGTTGTGAATGTTAAAAACGGCTCCTTTAACGTTGCTAACAGTGTTAGCTGTGGTAGATGTGTACAAGCTAGCTTGTTGGTTAGATCATTTAGTTCCATTACAGAAATATTTTGTATGTGAAGCATGAACAATGTTAGCAGCAATACATGCTGACAACTATAAGATAGGACATGTACAGTGGGTACGGAAAGTATTCAGACCCCTTTAAATTTTTCACTCTTTGTGTCATTGCAGCCATTTGCTAAAATCAAAAAAGTTCATTTTATTTCTCATTAATGTACACTCAGCACCCCATCTTGACAGAAAAAAACGGAAATGTAGAAATTTTTGCAAATTTATTAAAAAAGAAAAACTGAAATATCACATGGTCATAAGTATTCAGACCCTTTGCTGTGACACTCATATTTAACTCACATGCTGTCCATTTCTTCTGATCCTCCTTGAGATGGTTCTACTCCTTCATTGGAGTCCAGCTGTGTTTAATTAAACTGATTGGACTTGATTAGGAAAGGCACCCACCTGTCGATATAAGACCTTACAGCTCACAGTGCATGTCAGAGCAAATGAGAATCATGAGGTCGAAGGAACTGCCCAAGGAGCTCAGAGACAGAATTGTGGCAAGGCACAGATCTGGCCAAGGTTACAAAAGAATTTCTGCAGCACTCAAGGTTCCTAAGAGCACAGTGGCCTCCATAATCCTTAAATGGAAGAAGTTTGGGACGACCAGAACTCTTCCTAGACCTGGCCGTCCAGCCAAACTGAGCAATCGTGGAAGAAGAGCCTTGGTGAGAGAGGTAAAGAAGAACCCAAAGATCACTGTGGCTGAGCTCCAGAGATGCAGTAGGGAGATGGGGGGAAAGTTCCACAAAGTCAACTATCACTGCAGCCCTCCACCAGTCGGGGCTTTATGGCAGAGTGGCCCGACGGAAGCCTCTCCTCAGTGCAAGACATATGAAAGCCCGCATAGAGTTTGCCAAAAATCACATGAAGGACTCCCAGACTATGAGAAATAAGATTCTCTGGTCTGATGAGACC